GGGAGGGGAGGAGAAGAGAAAAAAAAAAAAGAAAAAGATTGTCTCATGGTGTGTGGTGCTCAACTCAATTGATATATCTACAGCGCAATCCCTACACCTAAGGCATAGGGAACAGAAAAGGGAGCAGAAAGATTCTAAGAGCCAGAGAACCTGGATGCCAACTTTGAGATAGTGCCTTCTAGACACGACAGGGATGCTTCATTCATGAAATCTCAGCAATATGGTTGCCTGTGTAAGACCAACACAGTGACCACACCAGTTGACATGCCAATATGGATGGGGAACATTTCATGACACCCCACCTCTAGATGAAGAGCTGCAGGCAGTCAGTGGCTGCTAAGGGAGGGGCAATCCGTTTTCTCCAGGGACAAGCCTCCAATATGTTATCTAATCCTAAATGGTCAACCCTGAACACATGTACATATGGGCAACACTAATTGGACTAAGTAGTGTGTGTGTGTGTGTGTGTGTGTGTGTGTGTGTGTGTGTGTACACCAGTAATTATAGAAGAGGTCATGAATTCAAGAGGGGTTTGGGGCAAAACTGCATGGTTGGTGAAAGAGGCCAGCCTTCCCCAATAGAGGACCCATCTTCTGTCAGGGCTATCTGAGTAGCTGTGCTCCCTGCTAGAACCTCCAAATACACTCTCAAGACGGGGTGGAGGGACACAGGAAGAATTAGAGGGGGGAGAGGGAAGGGTAGAGATGTATATATAGTATTCATATATGAAATTCTCAAATAAAAAATAAAGAAAAATTCTCTCATAGACTCCAGTTACTGAGATATTAGATATCTTATCTTACCAAGTCTGCCTCTCAACCTTCTTACATTTTTTATATTTGTCACATTTTTTGTTTCTTGCTTATTACATGTTTCATTTATTAAGAATTAACCCAACGCACTTCTCAGCTTTTTCGTTTCTCGCTGTTCCTGTCATTGTGTACTCTTCTTGTTCTTCTGACTGTGGTGCATCTGTGCTGAGAAGACTAATACTATTAATACTAGTATGCATGATTAACCTTGTTTTTCTGGGAGCAGTTTTGTTTTGTTTTGTTTTTTGGTCTTTTTGAGTCAGGGTCTCCCTGTAGCCCCAGGTAACCTGGAACTTGCTATGTAGACCGGGTTAGCCTTGAACTCACAGAGATCTGCCTGCTTCTGCCTCCCCAGTGCTGGGATTAAAGGCATATGCCACCATGCCCAGCCTGGGAATGGTTTTATTGTCCTTTGTTTTTTTTCAGCTTATCCTGAATCTTTTTCATATTTTAGACTTTGCTCATATGTTTTGTGGTCCTTGGTTTTCTGTGCAGTGTAAACCTGAGCAGTATTAGTTCTGACAAGATGTCAGTGTGTTGGAAGGACTTAGTGGCTGTCAGGTGTGGCTGTGGGTGGGAACACCATTACTCTGGGGCATTCCTGAGTGTTCAGTGCTGAATCACTCATGTCTGTGTGATCTGCCTTGGTTCTCCTTTTACAGTATTCTGAGTTCTGTAGGAGGATCCTCTGTCTGGAGTGTGGACTTGGGAGCACATCAATGTTGATGGCTGGAAATGGATCTTTGAATCTTTTAGTTTCCACCTCTTGTCTCATAACCCCCTTTACATGCACCAGACATGATTTAAATTGCACCATCCCTTCATCCATCATTTAGCCACCGTATCTAGTAGTCACCCTTGCTTCCTCTTTCTTCCCCATCCCTCACACAATGTATAGTAAGCATATAGCTCTGACCATAAATCTTTCACATTCTAAGTGCTTTACCTGTGTTTAATCACTTGATTCTCATAATGAACTCAAGGGGAAAATACAGTTGCATCCCCACTTTTCAGATGAGGAACCTAGGCACAGATGAGTTAGAGTCCCATGGAATATATTTGAGGCCATACAGATAATGGCATATCTGGGACTCAACCTCAGTCAGTGTTATAACTTCAGTGTTTTGTTTGGCTTTCCTCTGTCTTAGTAGTATTGGGGTAGAGAGTTGGTGTACATGCATTCAGGTATAATCTTGGACGGAAAGCCTGGTTAGACTGTTGAAACCCGAGGCAACATCTACAAACAGTAGCTTTTGATGTCCTAGAGCCAGGGTTGCTGAGTTCTGTGTTTCGAGTTACCAGCATACAGAGTACTTCAGCATCTGTCATGACTGTTTGTGGTGCTCTGTACCCAGAGTGAAATAAGTCCTCAGAGCCATTCGAACAGCATCTGAATGCCTCGCTTGTCCTAGGACTGACTACATTGCATAGATGATGGATGTTTGCTTATGGTGGAGACAGCCATCCAGAATGGTGGATAACAGAAGGACGAAGATGAGTCCTAACTTCCGATGGCTCCTATCAGTACTTACTCTTCTACACCTGATAATGCAAATAAATAGTCAGAAGAGGGGTAAGTACATCAGACTTGCAGAAAATGAGCAAGCCTGTTTTATTTTTGTTTTGACTGTAAAGTAGTTTTGTTTCTGTCTTGACCTCAGGATTTTGCTGGTTAAAATACATTTCTCTGTAATACGTTTTCTAAATACTTTAAATTTCTTTTTTTAAATACCCTTGAAGATATATGAAAATACTCTTGCCATGTAAAAATAGCAAAACATAATTTACATACAGTAATAGTCATTGCTTTAGGATACAGCTCTCTGAGTTTTGACAACACACAGTTGCTTTGCACAGCATTATCAAGATCTGGCTCTGTCCCAGCACACAAAAATGGCCCATGTGCCTCCGTAGCCAATTCTTCCACCCCACCTAGCCAGCACTGCTGCTTTCTCTCTCAAACTTTGTCTTTTTTAGAATGTTTCATAAATGAAATCTAAATATCTTTCAGTGTGTTTTTGTATCTTATTTAAGAACATTAAAAATGTTTATGCACATGCTGACCAGCTCATTTCCGTGAAGAACGCTACTATTATCCTGCCGCCCCTTGGCTTCTTTTTTATGTTTCTGTAATTAAACATCCATTCCCCCAAGATCACTGAGTAAATAACTTTATTATTATTATAGTTGCTGATTTTCTAATGTGTTTCTGTTTTTTCTCATATATTTATAATATTGCAACAGGGTGTCTCATGCCCCAATCCATAAAGATAATAATGACTTTCTTTGTAGATATTTGTAGAGTCTGAAGTGTTTTTACAGCTTTCCCCTCCAGCTTCCTTTTCCTTCCTTCCTCCCCTTTTCCTCCCTACCTTCCCTCCTCCCTTTTCTCCCCCTCCCTCTTCCCTTTCCCCTTTCTAGCCCCCCTTTCCCTTTGTTCTCCCCATTCCCCTCGTTCCCCTCTTCTGCACCCTCTTCCTTTCTTTTCACTTTCTGCACAGGGCAACTTTCTGCATGTATAGTGTCCTGTGTTCCATTAAGTAGTGTCATTGTTTAAATGTGAATAAGGACTTTTAGAATTGTGAGCTTTGGACTTATTTGTTTCTTTTCTGTTGTTTAAGCCCACACATACAAAAATGTTTCCATAGACTGGTGTGCATTCATTGCTTTTTGAGTATAATCTGTTTCACAACTATCGAAGCTGTTATAGGTTCCTGTGGAGGGGTAGTCTGGTCCAGGCAGTGAAGCAGAAGTGGATAGACATGTTTGTGGATGTGGGGTGCACTTGGTTTTTTTCTCGGATTTTTTTTTTTCCACCATAAATGGAGCTCTTGTAAATGGGGCTCATGGAAATTCAAGAATGCTGGAATTCCTGCATTTCCTCTTGCCTCATCACTGAATCTGTAGTTCAATTACTTCTTCAGTTTCTCTTATTTGCCTAGAAGTGATTTTATTTTTTTTTCCCTTAACACGGGTCTCACTGTGTAGTCTTAGCTGGCCTGGAATGCAGTGTAGACTAAGCTGGCCTTGAACTCACAGAGATCTCCAAGTGTTGGGATTAAAGGCATGTGTCACCAACACCCAGTTGGAAGTGATATTTTTTATAGCAGTCCAAACCTAAGATATTGACCAGTTGGCTCACTTTCATTATTTACCCTTTACCCTTTAACTCAACATAAACACACACACACACACACAGCCTCAAGTTACAAAAATAACTGAAGGCAGTAGCAGCCCATGACTGAGATTCTTCATGGCGAATATGGCCCTCTGGTGCTTAGCACTAAGATAGTTTGACCCTCACAGGACTGCATGTTCTGTGTTGTGTGTGGACATGTGCATATGTTTTATTTCTCCTCCTTCAGGGGTACTTCGAGATTTGAAATGTACAACTAACAATTTACAAGTGTGGGACTGTGCTTGGAAAGCACCCCTTGGAGCCAGCCATGGAACTGTTAATGAAGTTTGCATTGAAGACAGGTAATGAAATACTAAGATTCACCTGTAGCTGTACCCCAGAGGTTCTTTATTGCTCATTCTAGAATATGACAGTTTTCTTCCTGGAATTGTAAATGACATTTAAACTCAATTTTCTACTTCTTAAATATTCCAAGTTTTAAATTAGTCAAGATAGAAACAAACTCTTCTAGCCAAAAGTTTTGTTTCCTTTGTTGTGGAAAGTGAATGTGGAACATACCCACAGTATGCTGATCTGCTATGGGAGCTTTTGCTGATAAAACCAGTGTCTCTCTACGGCAGATTGAAATTTGTGCCTAATAGACAGAGTCAGTGACAGCCACTCCATACGCAGGCCTTGACTCCCATGGAGGTAGTCTGGATGTAGGTAGTTCAGGACTGGCATCGCTACTGACGGCCTTGTACTTTTCATCTGTTTCTTCACTTTCTTTCACCTGGAATCTCATGGTTCAAGGTGATAGGAGCAGTCTTCACATCTGCATGTGAAGAAGCAAGCCGAGAAAGGAAGGGTACTTTTCTGTTTAAAAGACTTAAATCCCACAAAACGCCTAGGCTGACATTGAACAGCATCCAGTCAAACCTGGCTCCCTAAAAGGTTGGGAAAGAAGCACTCCTATCTGGCAATATGCCTGGTAAGCACTGGGTTCATGTTAGTAAGGAAAAGGGTGAAATGAACCTTAGGAGGCAGGGGCAAGCTTTTACATGACCTTATGTCTCAAGTAGTCTTCGGTGGACTCTTCTGCCTAGAGTAGAGGCCTGAACAGCTGCGTTTTCCTAATTCCAGCAGAACACTGAGTTGCTTAGCAAAGCCAGACAAGTGTCAGAGACTTTATCACCAAGTCTTACTATGCTAACAAGTGGTCCTGATGTAAATTGGCCTAATATATGTTCAAGCACAATCAAATGTAGCATACATTTATTGAGCATTATAAGCATTGGAGTGATTTTTCAGGCATGAGAAACCAGGTTTTGTTGCAGGAACAGCCTACAGACATTTATCCTTATATCTTGCTTGTGCAAATAAAAGACTTTTTCCTGCTTATGTTTGGGTATTAGCTGGGATTTCTATCCTCAGCTTCTCCTAAGGCTCCAGGTATTATGAGGTTTCTGGAAGGGGAAGAGAAGGAACACAACCTGTGCTGGCTTTTAAAGCTTTCTTCTTGAAGTAGGTAACTGTGACTTTGACTCCTTTCTCTGGCCACATAATATGTGAGCCACATGGCCATACCTTGCTTCAAAGGGGCATGGGACAGGCTTACCTTGATTCCAGGAGGGGAGATTCTGATAATTTCGGTTAATAGCATGAATGCTGGCCTTAGCACCATGGGAGGAAAATTAGTTCCAGCTAACCAGGAGCACACAGCAAACAGCAACGGTGCTCTGGGTGGCTTGTTGTTAGATATGTGACATGAAGTGCAAAGGAGGGGAGACCAGAGAGTAGCAGGCTGAGAGTATGGGTACAATGGCTTAAACTAAGAAAATGCGATTTGGAGAATTCTGATGGTTTCAGGTCATGAGGTTGAAGAAGTGAGCCAGGCGGGTGAAGTTTGAAGTCGTGAACAAATGCTGAGAGGCTATGCTCAGTGCTGGGTGACAGCTGAGGTACAAGAGGTCTGGAAGGTTCCTTTTTGTGCTAATTAATATTTTAATGAGAAATTAGATATTAGTAAAAAAGAATATAAACACAGTCCATAGGGATACAAAGGGCTGTGAAACTGAAGAGGAAAATGCTGTTTGTCTTTGAGACTTTTTGTCTAGAAGGGGCCTAGAAGCATTTCAAAGCCAAATTTGTTAAAATGAACCCTGAGTCCAGGCAGAACAGTGGGCAAGATTGTGGGCCTGTGCAAAAGGGCCGCTAAGTCTAGTTTCATCTATCAGCTTCGATTGAGCCCTGCTCCTAGTATGAGGCACTATGATGGTCATGGTCCTGAGTGTTGGGTGTGAAGGGAACAGAGCATATAGAAATGAGGCTGCTCTGAGAATCTAAGGTAGGGTTTAGACCGAGTGCTAAAACTACAAGGTTCTGAAATAATTGCCTCTGCATACTCTCTGTATTTTCAGGTAGTCTAGTAATTTTCCTACCAATACCCTGATAAAACTACCATTAGCCTCTTTTTGTTTTGTCTTGGCATATAGTACAACCCAACATGCTTTTGCATATAAAAAAGCATAAGGTATTTTCCAGTATATTATGCTAATCAGGTTTTATGAAAATGATACTGTTTTTATATGGTGTGGTGGTTTGAATGAAAATGTCCCCCATAGGCTCCAAGTACTTGGACATTTTTGTCCCCAGTTGGTGGTGCTGTTTTGGGAGGTCTTAGAAGGTGTGCCAATCCTGGAGGAAACACATCACTGGAGGCGGCCTTAGAGAGTTCTTAAGCCTTGCCAGATCTCACGTCCTTCTCTTGCTTCCTGTGTCTGCTTGAAGATGCAGCACTTAGCTTCTGTTCCTCTTCCAGACACCTCTGCCACCATGCCTCCCGCCATGATGGCATCTTGCCCCTTTTGGAACCGTAAGCTTAAATAAACTCTTCCTTCTATAAATTGCTTTGGTCAGTGTTTCTATCATAGCAACAGAAAAGTAACTAATACATATGGCTAAAATTTTCTTTCTTTTTTTTTTTTAAGACAGCGTCTTTTTATTTTACAGCTGGCCTGGAACTCGCTACGTAGACCAGGCTGGCCTCGATCTTACAGAGATCTGCCTGCCTCTGCCTCCTAACTGCTGGGATTAGAGAGGTGTGTGCCATCATGCCCAGCTTAAAATTTTGTTTCTTTTATTATAGATTCCATTCATGCCATCGATTAGAGAAAACAAACATTAAAATTCCAGCTCTTTCACCTGGTGATCATGAAGTAACAATAAATTATCTACATGGTTTTGAAAGTTCTCCAAGTAAATTCATACTAAATGAAAAAAATGTTTGTAAGTATTTGAAAAAAAATTTATTCATTACTATTGGTGTTTCCCTTTATTTATTTATTTATTTTTTTTGAGGCAGGATCTTTCTGTGTAGTTCAGGCTGGCCTTGAATTTATCATCTTCCAGCCTTAACCTCTGAGGACTGGGAGTGTGTGTGTGTGTGTGTGTGTGTGTGTGTGTGTGTGTGTGTGTCTCCATGCCCAGTTAGAAATTAATTTTAAAATAGAACAATGTCACTGGTAGTACTTTGATGCTATGAAGTTGCCCCAAACCTATGGTTCTTTGAATCTCATTTATACTAATGCTTTCATTCCTTCAGGATCCTTGTTGAGGAAGGACATAAATAGGTTTTCCACTCAATCAAAGTAGACATCCCAGAATTGAACATCCTTCCCTCACTTGGTTACTCCTCTCGCTCTCTTTGCCTCTTCCATTCTTGCACACACCCATTTCTCAGGTGGACTTTACTCTGGGAATATAGGCTCTGACTGCCTCAGAGGAGACCCCATCCATTCTTCACTCAAACTTGGGCAGGCTGTATTTTTTTGTGGCAGTTTCTCTCAATTGAACTCATAGTTCAGTGTGTGTTAGATGTTTACCATGTGTCTTTTCCATAGGAAATGGGTTCTGTGAGGGAAGGGACAAGGACTTTGTCTTCTTCACAGAGCACATGGCCTAGTGCTGTACAGGTCACAGGCATTTGGCAAGTTTCCAAGTGAATATCTAGGACCATGCTACCAGCATATAGGAAGCATGCGGCCACTCAGGCTGACAGAGATGGAACATTGACTTCCATAGGACTTATAAGCCCTGAATCCTCTTGACTCACATGGTTAGCAAGGAGGTTTGTTAATTTCTGACCATGGCCACAGGATGATGTGGTAATATTATGATGACTGCCTTAACAGCAAGGAGAGAAAATAAAATTAACTTGATTTGTTTAGTTATATCGAGTGGTTATGTATTGGGCAAGATTGATGCCATCCCTGACATTTAAAAGAACAAATAAGCTGTCCAGAAATAATACTCGCTTTCTGGCTAAAGCAGGTAAAGTATTTGCCATGCAGGCCTGGCAACTTGAGTTCTGTCCCCAGAGCCCACATAAAGGTGAAGGAAAGAATCCATTCACAAGGTTGTCCTCTGACATCCACACACATGCTGGTTTTTTTTTTTTTTTTTTTTTTTTTTTTTTTTTTTTTTTTTTTTGTGTGTGTGTGTGTGTGTGTGTGTAAAATATGTGTGTGGGAGTATGCTTTACCTACTAATACTTTTTTAAAAATTCCTTTCCATCTGGAAAATTCTGAGTTTCTAGAAAGCAAGCTAAAATTATTCTCAGATGTCTATTTTAACTCAAAAGTAGATCAGATGCCAGTTCTTGGGGACTTGGGGGCAACTTATATTTCTACTATGAAAAGAAAGAAAGAATTTTTTTTTTTAATTTTATAAATCCTTTGGTTGTCACTGTCTCTTGCTCTTCTGTGACTTGTGTTTTGTAGTTGCCCACCTGCTAAAGTGTAAACGACATGGACTTTTGAGGGAGTGAGACATTTTAATGGTCACAGTTCAGGATGCCCATTTCATCGTGTTTCAGTTAACTATGTTGTCACATTTGGAATTACACCCTCACGCTTGGAAGCCTCTAACTCTCTCCTGGTCACACTGGCATCTGAACTTCCCCTGTCCTGGCACCAGATCCACTGCCTCTCATTTGTCCATCTACTCATTTCCCACGCAGCCTCGACTTCCATCTTCCCCAGTGAAGCATCTTCATGTGCCTCTATAGCTATGGTAGCCAACTTTATTATACAGTGCAGATGGTAAATCCACTCATTCTAGATCATGTACTAGCCCTAAACATTTTATATATAGCCAGGATATAGTTGCTTTGTTCACCAAATTTTAGTAAAATCAAATTTTGTGGACTTACTTCGGTTCCAATACTTAGGTGAATAATGGTTTGCTGGCCAGCCTGCTTCGGAACGTTTATTCCTGCAGTTTCTCACTTACTATGACTTTATTTATTGGCCCTTGAGCTTCATGGGAAATGACTAGAAGTGAGAAGAGAAAGGGCACATCTCTGGCTTTCTTCTAACTTTCCCTTGCATGCCTGTCACTTGAGGAAGAATCTTGCAAGAGCACCTGCATCTCTCAGTCTTTCACCAGAGCCTGTGTTTGCAGGCAAGATCATGCTCGTACCTTGTTTCCCACTGTTGTGAAGTTTTCAGTAATTGCCCACTCCTTGTGGCAGGGACATGTGAAGATGGATACATCACTGTTCCTGCTGCCTCTCTGCAGTGTACAGGTTTCCCTTGGGACATGCCTGAGTTCTGACATGGCTCGCCTCCTACTTTCTGTAATTCAGCTTCAGAGCCACAGCCTCCTCAGACCTCTTCCAGTGCTCACAGTTCCACGTCCTCACCCCTGCCTGTGGGCTGCTCTCGTCCTCTTCCCCGAGCTGGCTTATTTGGCCTGGATGTGTTCCTTCATAGTTCTGTGACCCTACTTTTTCTCCGGTTTCTTTCTAATTGTAGACCATTCCATCTCTGCATTCTTACTGCTGTGGCTGACTCCTTCAGGGTGCAGTTGTTAATTGTAGCCCGTAAAGTAAGCTTTGGTGTTTTATGTATGTGTCCCCTTTTCCCCCTCCATGCCAAACAGCAAGCCCCTCCGGAGTCTGCACTGTGGTTCTGGTACTTTGCTGTCCTCACAGATGCCTGCAGAATGCTCTGTTCTCCTTCCCTAGGGCTGCCATCCACACTCAGCCTTCTACGTCTGTCATGGCTCTTGATGTCTTTTGCGTTTCTCTTCACAGTGAAGCCTTCATTCCTCTGATCCTGTCATTTCTTCAGAGCAGATTTTTGTCCTTTTCCGTGTTCGGGATCATAAAGCACAGCTAGCATTTCTCTAGCACTCTCTTTGCCATCTGCTTATCTCTCTCAGACCCCTGCAGACTGTGCCCATGTCTACACTGCTGTACCAGCCTTTCTGAGCTCCTTCTCTCCTGCCCTCCTTCACCATTAGCCTTTGGCTTCCACACTCAGTGCCTTAATCATTAGGATAGTCTCCTGCTATTTAATAGCATCCATACTGGGACTAGCTCATTGAGTTCTTTAGGTGGGTGGTGTCCCCTCATCTGAAGGGTTCTGCTGCTGCGAGAAGCTGTGAGAAAGAACACAGGACCTTTCCCAGTGGAGGCTTGCCATGTGTTATCATTTTCTTAGGCTCAACCTGTTGCCAACCCTGCAAGCTCTTTGCCTGCTTCCTTGCAGGTCTCTGACCAGGTGACACTAGAGTGTTACTATTTGCAGTAGGAAATGTGTCATGGATGTGAAACAGCCAACTCACAATTTTCAAGTCTGGCTCATTAATCACTGGGCATTGTCTGAACAGATAAATACCTCTCTGTCCTTTTTCCAGTAACAGGTTCACAAGTTTGCTTTTAATTCTGGAGTGTTGATTTTTGGTCAGAAGGAATAGTGTAGAAGTCACTGATTAATCCAAGTACAGTGTGAAAAACCATTGCATATTTGACTGAGTTGTTGCTTTTTCCCCTTTTTAAAGCCTTGATTCCAGACCCTCCTGAGATCTTGAATCTGTCTGCTGACTTCCCGACCTCCACATTACACCTGAAGTGGAATGACAAGGGTTCTGCTTTCCCACCCCACTCAGATGCCGTCTGGGAAATTAAAGTTCTACGGAAGCCGAGTATGGAGCTTGTAAAATTAGTGAGTTTGAACCCAAATGCATTTTTTCCTCTATAACATTCAAGAAACCAAATAATTTTTAAAAACTTCTAAGGTGGTATCAATGAATTTGGGGGTTGTTAAAAAAGTACATCACATACCTTTCAGGGTTCATTACAAACTATATGCTTGAGCAGAGGCCAAAAAAAAAAAACAAAACAAAACAAAAAAAAACCCCAAACAACAACAACTATATTCTGTGATTAGAGAAGCATTTGTGGGCTAATGAAATAGCTCAGCAGGTAAAAGTGCTTGCCACACAGCCTGGCTACCTGAGTTTCATCCCTGGAACCCATGGTGGAAGGAGAGAACTGAATCCTAAAAATTGTCCTCTAATCTCCACATGCATATTGTGGCATGTGTGCTCACATTCGCATGTAGACACATACGATAATAATAAAGGTTAAAGTAAAAATTTAAGAAATTAAGGAAGACATATTCCCTGATTCCATCACTCAAACATAGTAAATATCTAGTTTTTTAAATCCATATGCCTTTATATAAATCAAATGAAAGCCTACTTTTATTTTATTACATTTATTTAATATTGTACATAAAATATTTTAAACAATCAGTAAGCTTGAATTTATCAGTCTGAAATAACATTGTTATGTTTAGTATCTCTCCGTAATATGTGAGTGGTTTTCTGTGACTTACATTTAGTTTTACTCTTAATCTAAGATTTCATAAGGAATAGCTATGAAAAGTTGGACAGGTGACATGTGAATACTGGGATAATGAAAGTGGTCAACCATTAATTAAAGGAACTGTTATTCCGAAACCATATGGCTTGTTGCCACATAAGCTGGTAAAGGTAAGGTGGTAATCTGCTTTTAGAAAGAATTTCTATATGAGGAAATAACAACAAACCTCAAAGGAAAATAGAAAAAGAACAGACTCACAATGGGAAAGGAGAGGGAAGATGACCCAGGTCCATAGTAATTGTGATACTTTAATTTACAATGATGTATTACTAAGTGAATATTTTTAGGTGAGAATTATTATAAAATGATAGCATCGTATTTTCAAAACGAGAGCTGTCATTCTGTAATAGTTTAACCATCAGGAATGCTAGGTATTAGCGTTTCGTTTAAGGCACTTATTGTCATAGCCATAGAAACTGCATCCCATTCAGCTAAAGACAGGTAGGCAGGAGGCTCTGAGCTGTTTTATATGGCCCTCCCTTATTTCCCATTTGTCTTTCTTTAGGTACAAATTTGTTTTTTGTTTATGTGTTTTGTCCAGCTGTAACTTGCTAGTGCTAGGATTACAGGAGTGCACCACTGTGTTTGGTTGTTTAATTCTTTCAACTGATTTTTTTTCATTTTTTTATCCATTTTTCCAAATAGCATACTTAACATTGCTATTTCTTGACTTACAGTAGTCTTTAGAGTTTGGAGCAGTGTTTTGTTAATTGCCCTAAAGGAGGATGAGAATTCTTCCCTCTTTCCCTTCTCAGCGCACTCATATTCTCAGGCACCATCTCCCTGCTCTCTTCCCCTCTTTCTTTATTTCCCACCTCAGCTTCCTGTCTGCTTCAAGTAGAGTTGAACTATTACAGTGTTTGGTAGAGCAGTGCTCATAATATAGTTACATGAATTCACAGCTTTTTGTAAAACTTACATTGCCTTTTACTCAGTTTTATTTATTTCTGTGTTTAATTCCATCTTAAATTCTCCTCAGGCTGTATGAATCTCTTTGAAATGCTTCAATTTACTAGGTAGTTTCTCTGTTTATCTTTGCATTTAAGTCACTCTTGAGGCTCTCAGGCTGACCTTTCTCGAACAGACATGGATGACATTTATATTGCACAGAGTGGTAAATTGCTGAGGCAGGCAGGTAGCCAGAGGTGTGACAAGGGCTCCAACAGTCTCAGCCCTTCCAGGCACCACTAAGTTTGGAGGGATTAGTGTGTTGGTAAACCTGGAACCTGTTCAAGATTGACTACAGTGTCTGTCAGCTCAGTTGTCAGGAAGCTATGATGCAAGGGTCTCTGTCATCCAGGGTATTCTGTATGCCTTCTTATGGTGAATCTTTCTCCAAAGTCTTATCTTCCTCTTATTTCTGGATTCTGGTGGAAACACATATTTGTGTAGCTATTTGCTATTGTAGCTAATCTCTGCTATGTGTAATAGCTAGCTAATAGATATAATCTTTTTTAAACTTTAATTTTCAAAACATTAAAAAAAGCTTGCCAACTTCTGTTTCAGAAAAGATGATGACAATTAGAACTTTCATGTGTTACTGTTGGAGGCATGAAATGCTACCATTAAGAGCACTGAGAACTGCATGTCCTGTGTGGGATTGCTAGCTTAGCTGCATGTAGACTCACAAGCTGGAAAGCCTTATTGAAGTTTTGAAGGCAGCATTCTGTGTACCGTAATGTGGATATATCTTCATCTATTCTGTTGTACATTTAGTAGCCGCTTTTAGTCTAACCCATCTCCTTAGGAACTTGTTTTGTTTCTATTTTTCAATTCTCTATTTTTTCCTTTCTTCTTAGAAATTTTCTTCTTGAGAAACAAGACGTTTAGACTGATTTTCTAAATGTCTTCTCTTTCCTGTTTCTCATCTGCTGCTTGCTCTATTTTCTGTGTGTGGGTCCTCTCTTTGACTTCACTTCTGTGAGATGTAGATCCACTGATTAGTTTTTCTCTTTGAGAATACAGAGATCATTTTCCTAGCAGTGTATTTTCCTAGGTGCTTTGTTGAATGTAACATCCTGTATGGTAATTCAATAGGGCCTAATGTTGATAAGGGAACATAATTGAATAATGATTATTAGACTGACTTTCTTGTTTTGCTTTATAGAAACTGAAGTCATTGAACAAAAGTTCAGACCATTTACTTCTATAGCATTATTCAGCAGGGTGTGATTTTATGTATATGTATATATATGTATTCTGTGAGGATTTTCGTTTTATCCTAAAGAAATGCAGACATATCACTACTTGGAAATAAAATTTTGTGTTTATTTTTAGATGTCGTTCAACACAACTCTGAGTGGTAAAGATATAGTTCACCACTGGAACTGGACATCAGACCTGCCCTTGGAGTGTGCCACTCACTATGTGGGGATTAGAAGGTACATCGACTGTCATCATTTCTCTGGTCGTAAAGAGTGGAGTGACTGGAGCCTCCTGAAGAACATTTCCTGTAAGCTTATATTTAAAGATCTTTGTTTCATATGAGTTATAGTGTTTAAGAGGAAGGGTTAGTGAATGCTTTCAGTTCTCTGAATCCCTGTAGCTACACGAGGGTCACCTGTGGAGCTTCTAAACTGTCAGCCCCAGAAGTATGGATTAAAGAAGTCAAAGATTGGCTCCAGGAGTCTGTACTTTTTTGAAACTTCCTAGGAGAGTTCAAGCTTGAAACTTCACTATCGTAGCCATTGAAGAATAATCAAAAAATACGTATTAGGAGCTATAGAGATGCCTCAGCAGTTAGGAGCTCTTACTCTTTGCTCAGTTCGGTTCTCAGCAGCCATATTGTGGCTCACAATCACCTGTAATTCCAGTTCCAGGAGATCAGATGCCCTCTTCTTTCCAGGTACCAGGAACGCTAGCCATGAGTGTGTGGTGCACATTTGAGTGTGTGGTGCACATTTATACATGCAGTCAAGCACTCATTCACATGTAATAAAAATAAATGTAATTTTTAAATTGTATGTTAGCTGTGTGTGATGGTGTACTCCTTTAATCCCAGCACTCAGGAGACACTTGCAGGTGGATCTCTGTGAGTTCAGGGCCAGCCTGGTCTACATAGAGAGTTCTAGGCCAGCCGGGGTTACAGGGAGACCCTGTCTTAAGACAAAACAAACAAAAAGTTCCCCAAAATTGTATGTTAGTGGAGAGAGAGAGAGAGAGAAAGAGAGAGAGAGAGAGAGAGAGAGAGAGAGAGAGAGAGATTGATTTTAAGTGGTTCTCAATTTCTGGCTCTCAGAGTAGACTCCCAGAGGCTGCATGTTTACTTCACTGAGCATGAGAATATAAAGTCATCTATCCATTAAATAAGAGTCTTATGCAGGTAGAGAGTTCAGGATCATCAGTGACAATAAAATAAGGCCCTGAAAGTAGCTGGCATTCATTGCCAGAGGATACTCTAGTGACAGTACAGTGGACTAGCAGAGCAAGGAAAGGCCAGGTAGGTGAAGGAGGAGAATATGTGGCAGTAGAGCAGAGCAGCGGAAGCACAATAGGACAGCCACGTTTAGAACCGAAAGGAGGACGGAGATGTGAAACACTGGGGAGGCAGAACCAGAATCGGAATCCAGGGACTTTTGGTGGGAGAGAAGGAAAGCCAAAACTATTTGTTCCTTTGGGTAGCTGGGGAGACTGTTCATGGAAGCAGAAAATATATGAACAAGTTGGGTGGGAAATACAGTTTCTTTTCTTTTTTTGGTCTTTTTGAGACAGGGTCTCCCTGTAGCCCGAGCTGGCCTGGATTTGCTATGGAGACCAGGCTGGCCTCGAACTCACGGAGATCCGCCTGCCTCTGCCTCTCAAGTGCCTGGATTAAAGGCATGCACCACCACTCCCAGCCACAGTTTCATTTTTAATATGCCAAGCAAGAGACAAGGAGGTTGGAGATGTCAGTCTGGCATACAGATACAGATACAGAGGTGCTGAAGATGGCCCTTTGAGAACCACAAATACATGTGTGATAAAAGGTCAGCATAACTTTGGGAAAGGGAATAGGGACCATGGACACCCCTCAGAAGGTCTCTTGTCTAAGGATAGAACTGGAGGAAGCCCAGTAGCCTGAGAACTAGGAGTGGCCAAGGAAAGTTCAGTGTTGTGGAACCCAAGACAAGAGAGAGTTTGGAGGAGGACTTTAGGCAACATGCAGAATGGGCCCATGGATTAAGCACCGGATCAGCAGCCACTGTAGAAGAATGACATAGGTAAAAGCCGGCAGCAGTAGAATGAGGAGTAGAGAGGAGTCTACAGATCCTTACATAAAGATTGGCATCTGGGGAGGAGCAGGGGTGTGTGGCCTTAACCTGAAAAGTTATGATTAAGGAAACAACTGCCTTTTGGATGTGGAGTGCTTCCACATATGTTTAGGCTGATGGAAAGTAAGAATCTGTTCTAAATACATAGAATAGTTTTAAAAAATACTTTATTATTTTTTATTTGATGTGTATGAGTGTATTGCCTACATGTATGTAAGTGCTCCCCATGTTGTACAGTGCCCATGGAGGCCAGAAGAGGGTGTTGTATCCTAGAAACAGGAACTGGAGTTATGGATAGTTGTTAGTTGCCATGTGGGTGCTGGCAATCAAACCCTGGTACTCTGTAAGAGCAGACAGTGCTCTTAACTCATAAGCATTTCTCCAGCCCCTAGAATAGTTTTAAAGGAATGAATTTATTTAGTGAATTATTTTCTTGGGGTGTATATTCTGCATGAATGCATAAACCCACTGTTAGACTCCTATGATTTAGATATTGGCCTGTGATCTAGTTCCATCCCCCTCATGAGTAAATAAAGCTACAATTTCGTTTCTTGTTTGTGTTGTGCTCCTTTGAAACCTCAGAGGTATGCTTTATATTTGGGCTAGCTTACTTCAAAATGCCTAATAATATGTTTTGTATATATTGGGCTATTTTAAAATCATCTGAGGAATCAGGTGTGCTAGCTCATTATGCCTGTAATCCTAGCTTTCAGCTGAGGCAGGAGGATTGCTGCAAGTTTTAGGCCAACCTGGGTTGTGTAGTAAATTCCAGGCTAGCCTGGGCTATAGAATAAAACCTCATTTCAAATAATAATAATAATAATAAGGGACTTGGGAGATGACTCAGTTGGTAAAGTGTCTGCCATACAGGCAGTTCTAAGAAACTGACTACAGACCCCCAATACCATATAAAAACTGGGCATGGTGGAGGGGCTGGAGAGATGGCTTGGTGGTTAAGAGCACTTACTGCTCTTCCAGAGGACCTAGGTTCAGATGCTAGCACCCACTTGGTGGCTAACAACCATTTGTAACTCCAGTTTCAGGGGTTCTCTCTGGCATCTGTGGGCATTACATGACGGGTGCACTTACATATCTGTAGGCATAATACTCATACTCATAAAATTAAAATAAAGGGGAGAGCCATTGAGGAAGACACCTGCATCAGCCTTCAGTCTCCAAACGTGTGAACATGTACTTATATCATACGAAGGTAAAAATGTCTGCAATATTTGGAATTCTCTTGTTTCTTTCTAGGGACTCCAAATTCTGAGACCAAGGCTTTTCCTCAAGATAAAGTAATACTTGTAGGCTCAAACATAACATTTTGTTGTGTGAGTCAAACCAAAGTGCTGTCGGGACAGATTGGCAAAACATTTTGTCCTCTTATCCATCTTCATGGGGAAAGTGTTGCGATCCACATCCAAAATATTTCGGTTTCTGAAAATAGTGGAACAAATGTGGTTTTCACAACAGAAGATAATGTGTATGGAACAGTTGTCTTTGCAGGATGTAAGTATATCATATTGAAGAGAGTTACTGTTATGTTCTCTGCCTCCTTGAAAAGCTCAATTTCTTTTCTGCGAAATGATTCTGTTCCTTATTTCTTTGTTCTGTTATATAAATAATATCCAAGGACTCTAGAATTCTAATATAGGAGTCCTAATCTTGTTTCCCATATACCTGTATCTATATAAATTGTGAGTTTTATAATAAGTTCTGAGACATCTAGCTTCTAGGGTTTAATTTAAATTCTTTGAAAACGGCTTTGTCCATTCAAAGTGTTTAGTATGTGGTATTTCTTAATCGTGCATTGCCTAAGAATAATTTAATATAAATTAATTTAATTTCCCACTTAAACTATTTCCAAATAGTTTGGGGTCTCCCTAAAGCCATAGCTGGCCTGGAACTCACTATGTAGAATGGATGGCCCTAATTTCATAGAGATCTGCCTGCCTTGGCCTTGTGAGTGCTGGGATTAAAGGCATGTGCCACCACGCCTGGCTCTTTCATTCTTTTATATGAATCTTATGGTGAATTGCATTTAGATCTTGGTATATCCCTAGGGAGTGACTGTCAGATGGATCCCAGCTTGATGCCTTGTTCTTACCGGTTTCCCATTCTTGTCTTTTGGAATTGAAGTGAGAGATTAGATTTAATTTTATTTTGGTCAGGTGTGGTGGTACACGCCTTTAATCCTGATATTTGGGAGGCAGAGGCAGGTGGAGTTCTGTGAGATTGAGGTCAGCCTGGACTACATAGTGAGTTCCAAGCCAACTGGGGCTACAGAGAGACCCTGTCTCAAAAAACAACCATTAAAATTCCATTTTCTTTCCTAATGGAATTTTAGGAGATTGTCCGCAGCATTTGTCACAGATGATCCTAGGTCTAAAATGAGAGCCGATGGCCATATAGTGAAGCTGCTCCCAGGGTGACACTGAAGTGAGCCATCTACATAAAAATAGAAAAGGAAACATAAAAACTTTAAAAGACGAGATTATGGAGTTGTAGATGTAGCTCAGTGGGTAGAGTCCCAGCCAGCATGCCAGCGCCCTGGCTTTGGTTCCCAGTGCCTTCTGGAATGGCATAGTGGAGGTATACAGGCCTCTAATGTAATCCCAGTCACTCCACAGATGCATTCTGAAGGATCAAGACTTTGGGTTCTTCGTTGGCCTCAGCCAATTCCAAGTCCACCTAGGCTACATTATACCCTATCTCAGAACAATAGAAGAAAAGTTTAAAAATGAGAATATGTATTGTATGTGTTGATTTCATTTCCGTTATTTTAGGCAGTATTCAAATTATTTCATCACAGCACTGGAACAGATATCTTAAACTTGTATTTTAACTTCTATTTATAATATTGCAAGGTTTAAATACTGCTCAGTGTTTGTCAGTCTAGGGCAGTGGTAGCATTTCCCATTGAGCAGAGCTTCAGAAACTCCCAGGGCAGGATTTTGGTGTAAAGTAGGGATCATTTGGTTTGGGTCTTTTTTGATTTGTTTTGTTTTTCTCTTAAAACTGTCCTCTTAGCCCTCTATTTATTAAAAAGACTTTTAGAATCATCTTACCAGTTCCCCCTAAACACATTCACAATTAAAATCTGCTGGAAATTTTATTGTGATTAATTTGTAGATCAGTTTAGAGGATTTCAGTTCTCACAGCTTTGTGTCTTCCATCCATGAACATGGTACACCTTCACTCAGTGAATTACTTTAGTGATGTGAGGCCTCGCATGTCGTTGGTTGAATCCATTCAACACCATCCAAACAGCACCATTGATGTTTTCTGGTGCTATTCATCACTTTGTTTTTTAAACTGTATTTCTGTTTGCTGGTTGTATAAAAAGAGATTATGCCTAGATTTCATTAACTTCCCTTGATTCTTTTTTTTAATATTTTATTTGTTAGTTTTATTTTATGTATATGAGTGTATTGCCTGCATGTATGTGAGTGCATCTGTGTCTTACAGTGCTGTGGAGGTCAGAAGAGGGCTTCAGATTCCCCTGGAACTGGAGTTAAGGATGGTTCGTAGCCACCATGTGGGTGCTGGGAATCGAACCCGGGTCCTCTGCAAGAGCAATAATTGCTCTTAACTGCTGAGCCATCTCTCCAGCCCCTTTGATTCTTTTACAGGTTATTTTCTTTGAAAAGAAAGAATATTCCAAGGCCTACTGACATCTCATCTTTTCTCCTGTCAATTCTTTTTCTTTATAAATTTATTCCTATTTAGATTTGTAGTATATTACCTCAATGTATATGCCTCACATCCTACAATAATCATCACTGTAAATATATTCCAAGATTTCAGATTATAATTTTAATAAAATGGTTGGAAATTTGGCTTTATATTTAAAATAACTTTCCAAAATGAGTATGTCAGTGTTCATTTAATTATTTCATTGTTAAATTGTCAGTAAAACACTCATTAGTTATCCTCAGTATTTTCCAAAATGTCATTGGAGGGGCCAGCAAATGACTCAGCAGGTAAAGGCATTTGCCATACATTCCTGTGACTTGAGTTCAATCCTATAAACATGGAAGGGGAGAACCAACTCCACAAAGTCTCCCTCTGACCTCTACATGTGCTCCATGGACTGCACACTCACACATATCATGTGCACACATACAATAATAAAAGGTTTTTTTTTTTTTTTTTTTTTTAAAGAAGTAAGCCAGGTGTGGTGGTGCATGCCTTTAATCCCAGCACTCAGGAAGCAGAAGCAGCCAGATCTCTGTGACAACAAGACAGCTTGGTCTACATACCGAGTTCCAGGAAGCTGGGGTTATAAGGAGACCCTGTCTTAAAAACCAATAATATTAATATTAGTAAATAAGTTAATAAATGTTATTTGGAGAATCTCTAGGGAGGATATGTAATATTTTGTGTTTTGGTTGATAAGTACTTTTAAAATACTCAGTTTCTTAAAAAATAAATTGAATTTTTGCTGCGCATGGTGGCACACGCCTTTAGTCCCAGCACTCGGGAGGCAGAGGCAGGTGGATCTCTGTGAGTTTGAGGCCAGCCTGGTCTCCATAGCGAATCCAGGCCAGCTGTGGCTACAGGGAGACCCTGTCTCAAAAAAAAAAAAGACCAAAAAAAATTATAATAAAAATAAATTTATTTTTACAGAATATTTCAACAAGTGGGTAAATTGTTATAACTTTTATACAAAAATGAAAAATATTGGGATAAATACAACAAATACCCGTTTCTATGTATGTTTAGTTATATGTGATTACAAAAATAGTGGTTTCTGTAATAAAAGTGTCAGGCTGTAGCATTTTCAGTTATCCCATTTCATCCTCCTATGACAAAATCAACCTTTTTCTTTCTTAAAAAGTTATGTTTTGACTTATAATTACCAATTGCAGTTTGCTTCCACTGATGCGCTTCGTAATTTAAAAATCTCTTCTACTCTCTAGGGCAGTTAGTTGATTAGCCAATGTTAAAGGCTATAGAAAAACTGCTACTTCATTCACAAACCTACTAAGCACCAGCTATGTGCCAGGTACCACACACTGGACCTGCCCAAAAGCATAGCCAAAGACTGGTAACGTGACTGGTGCTGACTTTTAGTATGTTTAGTGTTTTCTTTCCACATCACGAGATGTGTTAAGAGATGATCGGAAACAGCTTCAGCCTATAGATGCTCCAGTTGCTCTTTTAATCTATTATTTCTCATGTTATATAAGCTCTTATAAAACATCTTACAGAAAGAGTGATAATTCTTATGTTATTAAAAGTGAAATGTAAATAGTAAATTATTTTTTAAAGGAAATTATACAAGGTCTTATTTACATGTTATAAAACTGTAGTTTCAGAAAAAAAATATGTGTATCTACTTTGTTTTTCTTTTTCCTGTTAGATCCACCTGATGTTCCTCAGAAACTGAATTGTGAGACACATGATTTAAAAGAGATTATATGTAGTTGGAATCCAGGAAAGCCAACAGGATTGGTGGGCCCACGAAATACAAATTACACTTTGTTTGAAAGGTAATAGTAACCAAGAAGGGTATCAAGGGCCGAGAACCTAGAAAGACCTGTTTACTTGACACAGGGAAATGTTCTAGTGTATTATTTTTACAAAACTGAACACGCTATGTTAATAGTGTATGTAAAAACTGCAGTTAACCCGCATGTAGATTCAGTTCCATGCCTCCTCTTTCAGAAGCCCAATGCAAAGAGCCTAAGATGTAAGGTTTGTTCTGGGTGGTAGCTTATGCCTGGTTATTTTCTGTGTCACACACAGTTTTTGAGTATGTGATAATTCTGTAATTAGAAACATAAACTTTCTACGAAGCTTAATTATTAGAGATTTGCTCGTGATTTTCCTGCAATATCTATTTCTCACCATCTTGAAATAATTTTCTTTTGAATTAACAGTTTTTCAGGAAAATATGTTATATTTGAAAGATTTGAAACACTTACAAATGAGAGCTATCAGTTACTCTTCCAAATGCTTCCAAATCAAGAAATCCACAACTTCACTCTGACTGGTCGCAATCCACTCGGACAAGCAGAGTCAACAATATTAGTCAACATAACTGAAAGAGGTGAGTCACTGCGTCAGCCGGTATCTGTAAATAATTATAAAAATTAATGTGACATGCCTTGGGATTAATGAAAAGTGATTATAGGAATTAGTTTTTTCTGGTTATTTTCTTTAGAATTAATTTCATATTTATTTTATAAATTGTATTTTTTTTTTTTTTTTTGAGACAGGGTCTCCCAGTAGCCCCAGCTGGCCTGGAACTCACTGTGTAGACCAGGCTGGCCTCAAACTCATAGAGATCTGCCTGCCTCTGCCTCCCAAGTGCTAGGATTAATGGCATGTGTTACCATACACAGCACACAAATTTTGTTCTTAAAGCCTTAAAATAAATAACTTCAAATTTGACCACTGTGTTGAATTGAAATAAAATTTTGAGTCATATAGATAGGAACTATAAATGTCTTTGTCTTTTAGTTCTTGATTTCTGAAAACATTTTTTTAGGGGGGCAGTCAGGAAGCCTCTTTTTTCCTCTTTGAGACAGGGTCTCACTATACAGCACTGCCTGGCCTGGAGCTCAGTATATAGATCAGGCTGCCCTCGAACTCATAGAGATCCTCCTGTCTCTGCCTCCTGACTGCTGGGATTAGAGGTGTACACTACCATGCCAAGCTGAATTTTTTTTTTTTACCCAGTTTTTAAAAACTTTTATTTTAAAATACATTTTGACTCACAAGTTGTTCCAAAAATAATGAATTATAACTTTGTAAATCCTTCTGGCATTCACCAATGATGACATGTCAAAAACAAGAAGTTGTCACTAGTATAGTACCGATACCTAGGCTACTGAACTAGACTACTGATCTTGCTCAGTTTTTGTGTACATTCACTGTAGAGTGTGTGCAAGTTCCTTTGTGTTGTCAGTGAAGTTCTGTATCTTAATTGGGATGGTGATTTCCTGTATCTTTACACAGATACATTCTGTAGAACTTCTGTGCATGTGTCTGTGTCTCTGTCTCTCCTCCACCCCCCCATAGTACAGCTATCTTTTCTTCATTTCCATTTTGTCATTTGAGCATGTTATAAATGAAATCACACAATGTGTAACCATTAGAAATTGGCGTTTCTTATGGTAATTTCCTTGAGACCCATCCAAATTGTATCTTATTAGTTGTTTTTTCCTTTTTATACCAATTATTTCTGAATTTCTACCAGCCCTAGTAATAGATAATTGAAGATAAAAGTAAGATAGAGCTAATCTTTTTGGTGTTTTTCCAATTGTCAGTCTATGTGCACTAACTGCATGCCAGGCTCAATAGCATCCTGAGACTTCATAGAGACTCATGGAAGAAAGGACTAAATGTAATATGAAATTCACAAAGATTCAATTAAAAGGAAAACCAAGTGCATTATCATACAACCTGGCAAGTGAACAATAGAGGGTTATGTTGATTTATTTGTCATATCGGCCACTTCCATCCTGTCGTATTTAGTCCTGATTCATCCTAGAGTCAGAAGGCTCCATTTTGTAGGGGAATGGTAGTGCTTGCCTTTGTCTGCCCTTAGCCTTTTCATTTCTTTTTCTGATGTACATGGTTCTTCTGTGGAGCTCCTCTCAGAGTCCAACTCTGTTGTAAGACTCCTCCCATGCTATGTGGAATTTTTGTAGCAGCTAGCATCAGAACCACTCACTACTATAAATGGCTCCTCTCAATTACTTTTATTGTCATTCCTCACGTATATTGTAAATCCCTTAAAGATAACTTACTACCTTTTACTATTCCCAGTACCACATGAAGAACATTGATGGCAGCAACAAAAATGAGGTTTATCGATTCCAGACAAGATTGTATTCTTTTAGCACTAAGGAGACAGTCTTGGTTCTACCTCTCTCTCCCTTTGGTTCTAGTTTGTCTTATTAGGAGAGTACTTTTCACCTTTCTTTCTCTTTCTTTCTTTTCTTTCTTTCTCTCTCTTTCTCTTTCTCTTTTCTTTCTTTCTTTCTTTCTTTCTTTCTTTTTTCTTTCTTTCTTTATTTATTTTATGTGTGTGTGTATTGCTTGCATGTGTGTAAGTGCACCTGTGTTGTGCAGTGCCTGTGGAGGACAGAAGAGGGCGTCAGATTCCCCTGGAACTGGAGTTACAGACAGTTGTTAGCTGCCACATTGAACCTGGGAATTGAACCTGGGTCTTCTGCAAGAGCAGCCAGTGCTCTTAACCACTAACCCAACTCTCCAGCCTCAGCTTTTCTCCCTTAAACAAATGTTTACAAGAATTAATCTTTGTAATTCTATTGGCAGTTTCTCCTCGTACTCCAACTTCATTGAAAGTAAAGGACATTAACTCAACAGTTGTTACACTTTCTTGGCATTTACCAGGAAACTTTGCAAAGATCAATCTTTTATGTCAAATTGAAATTTATAAAGATAATTCAAAACAAGAATTGGTAAGTATAAATTGTCTATAAACTTTCCTTTTGGTTATTATGAGTAAAACACCCAGTTGCAAAAATAATTAGATAAATTGACTTGGGTAAGTTCTCAAAATACTTACTACAGAGATTTCCTAAACCTAGAAGGCCATTTCATATCAATGCATTAGCAGCATTATATTTTGCATTTTGGAACAGTTGTAACACTGGATAGTTCAGCTTTTGCTACTCAGCATGCTCTCAGGTCCAGTGTGGTACCTGGCACATAGCTGGTGCTTAGTAGGTTTGTGAATGAAGTAATAGTTTTTCTGTAGCCTTTAACATTGGCTAATCGACTAATTGCACTAGAGAGTAGAAGAGATTTTTAATTATGAAGTGCATCAGTGGAAGCAAGTTGTAATTGGTAATTATAAGTCAAAACATGACTTTTTAATACATTTAAAATAATTAGTTTGACATACTATACCCTGTTGGAACTTGTAGAAGCTCTGAAATCAATGGTACTGTACTTAAATATTGTCTTTGAAATGTACTGATTTCCGCAAAAGCATTCAAAGGTGCACAGTGTCTCCTGAAATGCTTCTTTGTAACAAGCATTGAGAACTCAGAGGCTTTCCTGGTACATTCAGACCCTCAAATTTGTGTAAAATTGCTTTGTTTTAATGCTATTTACTTAGCTTTAATATGTGTGGTCTGTCTACTACATGTTAAGTAGACTGGGCTCCCTAAATGACACAGAAGCATGTCTAAACTATATCACCTGCTGCCAAGTAGCCTCCAGATAATCATCTGAATCTTGTATTTAACCCTTAAGCTCATCTCAGATTACTAAATTGTGCTAAAGTTTAATGGTCACTAGCTATTCACTGATCATCAAAACTATACCATCTTCTGCATAATTTAACCATTATTATTTAGCGCTAATAATTAGGTTAAAAGAGCATTCTGGTGTTTTATTGTTATTATGGAACACAATTCCGTTTTGCCATTTCATAAGAACTTTAATTAAAACACTATGAATTCTGGTGTTCTAACTATAGCTGGTGTGGACACTTCGTCAGTTTATGTTGCAAGTGTAGGCTGATTTTATACCAAAAAATGTTTGGGAGTTACATTATGAATTCATACACACATGCCATATACACATACATGCATATATTTTTTTATATGCCCATATATATTATTTGTTTTCAAATAGCGGAATGTGGCAATCAAAGGAGTTGAAGATTCAAGTTACATTGTTGCTGTGGACAAATTAAATCCATACACTATATATACTTTTCGGATTCGTTGTTCTACTGAAACTTTCTGGAAATGGAGCAAGTGGAGCAATGAAAAACAACATTTAACTGTTGAAGCCAGTAAGTTAAATGCTTTGTGGCTAATGATTATTAATGGAGAGATGGGAGGATACAAGAGAGAGGCACCCCCAAACAATCACATGGCCTTGAGGGTGATTTTAACTCATTTTCTAGGCCCTTGTGTTCTGTAGATGTTGAGAGCTTAGCTTCTCTTTAGCAACCTTCTATTGCTAGGCTTTCTGAATGGAAGCCACTGAACCACTTCACATCTTACTGAGAATTCCAGTCTTAGAGAAATGTTTCCAGTACCCCATTTCAGCTGCTGATACTGTCCACTGTGTACAGTGTACCTCTTCAGATGCTAACTTTTAAATCTCCTTCCTAGTTCCTTCAAAGGCCCCAGACACTTGGAGAGAGTGGAGTTCTGATGGAAAAAATTTAATAATCTTTTGGAAGGTAAATATCTGTTGTTTCCTTGGACATTATTATGCTCAAGTACTTTAATGTACAAATGGTAATTTGATTATCCTTCCTCAGCTGGCTAAGTTTGCAGCCTCCCAAGGTTCATATTCCTCATCACTCCTGATGGGGTCTTGGAGTGAGGGTCTTGTCTCAGTTCTCAGCACTCTCCTTTGATTTTATGAGGCCTGTCAGGTACCTGAGGTGCCACGAATTAATTCTCTGTCTCTCATTTTCTTCAGAAACTACGAAGTTAGAATCCCATGTGTGGGTCACATTTTTTTTCCATGAATGACTGAGTCCCAGTGTCATAGAAACCGGGGCAGTTCTTTTAAAAATCAGTGTAACTATGTAAATAAAGACATCTGCAGCTGCATTTCTTTCAATGTGTTACATCCACATTTTAAAAATCTTAACTAGAAAGTTATGTGGCACATAACAATCACCAAATAATATTTTATTGTGGAAAACTTAATATTTTATTGTGACTAACTTAAATTTTGTTTGCTTATGGAGTATTCAGCTATACTGATAAAATAGTAAGTACATGGAGCACAAAGCTCCTAAAATGCATGCTGTCAAGTTAACAGAGCTTCAAGGTCTTTTGTGGGACAAGGAAGAGAGGATACTATTGTGTGGTATGATTAGAACAGGGCTTCTCCAGTCTATAAGGCAGAGCCACGTCTACTTAACTTACATAGCTGTAAATCTTGTCTTAATTTACAAAACAAAGCAAAAGCCTGCACTCGGGAAAACAAGTGGAAAGGTGTATCAAAATAGGAATGTGTAAAGGTGAAAATAGTGGAGATTTCTGCATGATTTTACTTTGTTTCTCTTTTTAAAAGTTTTTTTACATGTACTCATTTATTGTGCATGTGTACACATATGCATATACCAGCATGCACATAAAGGTCAGAAATTTACAAAACAAAGCAAAAGCCTGCACTCGGGAAAACAAGTGGAAAGGTGTATCAAAATAGGAATGTGTAAAGGTGAAAATAGTGGAGATTTCTGCATGATTTTACTTTGTTTCTCTTTTTAAAAATTTTTTTACATGTACTCATTTATTGTGCATGTGTACACATATGCATACACCAGCATGCACATAAAGGTCAGGGGGAAGCATATGGGGATCGGTTCTCTCTTTCTACCATATGGATTCTGGGGAATGAACTCAGACCTTCAAGCTTGGCAGCAAGCACCCTTCTCTGCTAAGCCACCTTGCCAGCCCTTCTTTCTGTTTTTGTACATTTTCTAATCTGTTGTAATGGTCATGTACTACTTTAAATTAGAAAGGGATACCTGTCTAAAAACAGTATAATAATGTTTTGATCAGTAGATCAGTTCTTCTGGTCATGTTAAATTTTTGTTTCTGGAAATTAAGATAAACATTGTTTTATATTGCTTAATTTTTAAGTTTCTGTGAACCTTTAGTAATTAACAAGTGTGGCTGTTTTCCAACATCTCATTCTTTTTTACCTGGGTCTCAGATTTTAAATTTGACTTTCTCACTGTTGACAGGGTCATTTGTTTTATTGTAACTTTGTTGTTGTGAACTTAGCTCCAGTTTATACTTGACCTTGGCTGGCTAGCCATAGTTATATTTGCAAGTTTTAGTGAGAACTTTTTTTCTGTGTTTTATAGCCTTTACCCATTAGTGAAGCTAATGGAAAAATCCTTTCCTATAATGTATCATGTTCATCACATGAGGAAACACAGTCCCTTTCTGAGATCCTTGATCCACAACACAAAGCAGAAATACAACTTGATAAAAATGACTACATCATCAGCGTGGTGGCAAAAAATTCTGTTGGCTCATCACCACCTTCTAAAATAGCTAGTATGGAAATCCCAAATGGTGAGTACTGAAGAGAACTTAGAATGGGAAATTAAAGTGGAAACTCACATGATGTCAGCAAATAATCATGCCCTATGTACTCTGCTCCTGTACTCTGCTCCTCTGCTACGTATGTATTACATACATAAGGAACAGGCAGATCGCACTACTGTTCATTGAGAGATAGCAGTCAGTGATATTTTTTGTTTCATTTTAAGAAAAAGTTTTGATGTGTAGCTCAGACTAGCACTGAATGCACTACATAGCCAGATCGGACTTGAACCGGCAGTCTTCTGCCTCAGCCTCCCGGGTGTTGGGAGCAGGAGGGTACCACCATAGCAGTCATTAGTATTAATATGAAGCATGTAGTCTGATAGATAATTACTGTATTCAATGACTTTGTCATTAAATAGTAGAAATTATGGTTATGGACTGCACTCTTAGGAAGAGATACTTTAACTGTATTCAAAGATCATTTTAAAATACTTTTCCAAGACAATGTTGTTAACTAGTCTGTTTCTGCCAATTGTCAGGCAGGAAAGAAAGATACTTGTTTTAATTGGCAGCTTTGTGGATAAATTGGTAAGTTCTTGAGGGTCTTGTTGTTTTGGATTTTGTTTGATTGTTTTTAAACAGATAGGGGTCTCTTGTAGCCCAGGCCAGCCTGAAACTCATTATGTAGCTGAGGATGACCTTGAACTTCTGGTCTTCCCAAGAGCTGGGATTACAAGTACCACTTTGAGCATAGAAGTTCTTTATGCTAACAAAGTCTTTCTAAAGACTAAATTAGTTTTTAAATATATGCTTTTGGAAAAAAAAAAGTCCACGTGATGTGATATAATTTTTAAATTATTAGTGTTTCCCTCTAAACTACACAGATTATCAGCATTCCTTCTCAGCTTCTATGTGGACCTTTTTTTATTAGCATATATTAATTGCACAAAGTAATGGGTTTCAACTTGACATTTCATACATGCACATATACCGTACTTAGATCATATTTGCCCTTGTACGACCTTCACTTATCCCTCCTACCCCATCTCCTGCTAGTCTTCTTTCCTAGTAGCTGGATAGCCTTCTGAGTCATGAGTTTTAAATGGCCACTTCCACCTCCTCTTCCAGTTAGCTGCTCTTCCAGGTCTTTTCTTGTTGTCCCTGTGCTGTCCCATCCCAGTGTGAGAGCAACTTTTTATGAGTCCACTCTGGCTGAAAGAAAAGCATTCCAGTTAGGTCCTGAGTGTCTTTTCATCTCTTGCTTGAAGCCATTTCTTATTTCTTGGAACTGATCTAGTTCCTAGATTTGCTCAAGGTAGTGGCTACAAAGAAGTAGGAAGCAGCCAGGTGTGGTGACATCTTTGATCCCAGCACTGGGAGGCAGAGGCAGGCAGAGATCTGTGAGATTGAGGCCAGCCCCGTCTACATAGCGAGTTCCAGGTCAGCTGAGGCTACAGGGAGACCCTGTCTTAAAAAGACCAGAAGGAAAAAAGAAAAAAAGTTAGGAATCAGGAATGTAGAAAATGCAGTTTCAGGATGAACACTAGCCTAAAGCCAAGACTGCAACATAGCCCAGGCCCTGGACCCATGTGGCAGATGTAGGAAACGGGGTCAGAGCAAGGTGGCTAAAGCCCCTCATTTGGACCTGACCAGAGGGAGCGACATGTGAGGCCTGAAACAAATAAGCTGCTCTTTCAGTTATTTCGTTGCCCTCACAAGGGTAGGCAGCAGCTGTGTTGTCTTTAACTGGAACGTTCTGATCTACCTGTTCTGCACGTCCTTGGAAGGTAAGTTGCAGAGCTGACTATGGTCACTGCTGCCACATGACTGCAGCACCAGAACACTCAGGACTTCTGGAAGAGTTCCAGAGTTGGAGGCTCTGCAGCCTCAGCTCAAGTTTACATTGTGGGTTTGTAATCACATTGAGCCAGAAAGCTGTTTTATGTCCAAAGCCTCCTGGATCCTAAACCAAGTGCTCTCATCTTGTAATCAGGAGTAGCTGCCTTATGAATGCAGATTTGTTAGGAATCTTCTGTATGGCTTTGTGCCAAACTCTTAAGTATAAATGTGTTGTAGGAGTCATTCTTTCTCCTGTCCCTGTGGGAAACCCCCTACATGCTGCGCTGCCCCCGGTCCTGGTTCCTCACCTCCAGCTTCCATCCTTACTTCTCACTTAGACTTAGGTCTGGCAGAATTGGTCTCCCACAGCCATGACTTTGCCCTCACTCCCTAGCCTGCATGCCTTGCCCCTGGATGTATCATGGTCTCTGAAAGCTGCCCCCACCCATACTGGCCATCCCACCTCACACCTTTGCTTCATCTTCCCATTCTCCACCCTCTGCCCTGCTCCTAGACAGCCCCCTCATCCCAGTGTTTGGATTGGATTGCAGGCCTCCTGGAGAGGAGATAGCCCGCTCCTCTATTCTGGGGTGCTCAGTCTGCATGCTCTGGGCCAGTCTTCTAGTAGAGCTCTGGTCACTGTGGTGGCAAGAGCAAGAGTCAACTGTCCTGTGGTCCTTCCCCAGCCTCCTGCCTCCTCCACTCACCCCACATGGCCATGCTACACTAGGTCTTCATCCAGTCCTATTCCTGTTGACCCTTGGTCATCCTCTGCTAGTCCCAGTGTGTGTTGAGCTGATACTAGGTGCTTTTTTATTTCTTCAGATGCTGTGCTAAAGATAAGTGCTATAAGCCTTCCAATAAAAGTGACTTAGCAACACTTCTAATCTTTGCTGAACATTGATACCTAGTTTGAGTACTATTTTTAATTTATGTACAGTGAGATAATTTTTATAATTCCTGTTCATTTTCTTGAGGCTTACCTTATGGTATTGTTTTGATTGCCAGTAAAATACCGTTCTTTTCTTGTTGAAGATGACCTCAAAGTGGAGCAAGCTGTTGGAACAGGGAAGAGAATTCTCCTCACCTGGCATCACGACCCCAACATGACTTGTGACTATGTAATTAAATGGTGTAACTCATCTCGGTCTGAACCCTGCCTCATGGACTGGAAAAAAGTTCCTTCAAACAGCACTGAGACTGTAATAGAATCTGGTAAGATGAATTAATAACTCTCAGAGTCCTTCAGAAGGATTTTTCAAAAGCAGTAATGATGTGACTAGGTATAGCAACAGGATGCTCATTCTCTTTTGCCACTGGGCCAATGTGCCTTGCTTTAGCTTTTCTGGATGTGCCTTGTGACAGACAGTATGTATGTGACGGATTTAACCCTTAGGCCTGTGAATTCCTTGTCCAGGAATTTATTCTGATAGATTGTCAGAGAATAACATGGATTTGCATCTGAGGATGTTCTGTTCTCAACTATGTAGGCCAAACTGGCTTTGAACTCACAGAGATCTGCCTGCCTTTTCCTCTGAGTGCCAGGATTAAAGGTGTGTCTACTACCAGGATTAAAGGTGTCTGAGAATGTTCTTGACAACCTTATTTATAATCTGAAAAAAATTGCAAATAGCAAATATGGCACTGTATAATTAATGATACATCTATAAACTGGACCTCAGTGGCAGTGATCGTTAATATCAGCGATTAGACAACATGAGGAAATGTTCCTGTTAAATGAAAGTAACAGTGCCCCTTTGCCTTAGTTTTCCCAGGACCTGGGGAGTAGGGGAGTAAAGGTGATGGAGGTGGTATGGTTTCTTTTTAATCTACAGATGATACTGTGTAGGAGAGAAGACATTTATTAACATGCCTCAAGAGGTGCAGAAGAAGATGGAAGCCTTACTCACCTTTGTTTTCGTCAAGGAAATGTCATCTTACAACATGAGACTTTTCATTATAATAGAAGAGAATATGCTCAATTTTTGTTCAATACTTGAAGTATTTTACCAATTTTGAAAATACCACCGTGTTTTTGTAATGAGAAATCTGTTTACAATTAGCTTTGGAAATTTTAGCATGTTGCAAGCTTTTTGTTTCTAAAAAAAATTTCTTAGTTATCTACATATACTTATGTTTACTTATTTATTCATCCCATAGATCAATTTCAGCCAGGAGTAAGATACAATTTTTTCCTGTATGGATGTAGAAATCAAGGATATCAATTATTACGTTCTATTATTGGATATATTGAAGAATTAGGTAAGTTAAATTGGTGCATTTTTTAGAGTGTGAATAAAATGAAAAATGTTAAATAGGCATGCAGCAAGATTTAGTTCTCAAAATATATTTAATTGCATTGTTTACTTCAAGGAGGATAAAATAATTTATATAGAAAATTTTAAAAGGTTTTATTTAGCTACTGAGAAACCTATAAACTATCCAGGACTGATAACAAAGAGGGGAATAAGCATGAAGTGTGTTTGGCATATAAGTTGTAAGTCCTTCCTTAGCTCTGTGTCTGTGGTTATTAGATGAGAGGTCATTGGAAGTTTCTGAGTGAATAGAGAATACAGTTTAACTCCAAGTTTAGGTGTTTCCGAAGCCAGAAATCTCATAAGCTGTTACCATCCTTCTCTGTATCAGTAACTTCCCTTCAACAATTGTTTCTTCTTTTTACAGCTCCTATTGTTGCCCCAAATTTCACTGTTGAAGATACATCCGCAGATTCGATATTAGTGAAATGGGAAGATATCCCTGTGGAAGAGCTTCGAGGCTTTTTAAGAGGATATTTATTTTACTTTCAGAAAGGAGAGAGAGATATGCCTAAGATGAGGAGCTTGGAATCAGGTGAGCAAATTCCAAGTTTGATTAGAGTTCCAAAAAATAAGAAAAGGGTCATTAGCCACAAAATAAAATGCTGCTGAAAATAGCTAAATAATAGTTTCCAAAACTGTCTGAAAAATAGTATGGAAAAAATAGCATGAATATTCTTTCAGAAAGTCTTCCTATACCTAATGATGAAAGAGGAAAGGCCCAGGAACCCAAAGAGTGGCTTCAGAACCTCTGTTGTAATCTGGCAAAGAGCCATCAGCATGCTTAGTACCTTCCTTTGCCGTGGTCAAGACAAATTAGGACGCTTACATTGGTATGAGTGAGGATGTATGCATCTATACAATGTTTAGAAGTAGAGTCAACCCTTGTCAGTTGGTAAGTGTTTGTCCAGAGACCTTAGAAAATTCCTAGATATGGAGCCAGCAAGGTGGCTCAGCTGGTAAAAGTGGAAAGAGAACCAACTTCACAAGTTCTCTTCTGATCTCTATACATGCACAGTGGGATGTGCATCCACACTCACATCGCCTCCAATAATAATAATAGCAATAATAAATGTTTTAAAGAAAATTCCCAAGTGTACATAGATGCAGAATTTGTTTACATAGATTTCTTTCTGGCTTTTTAAAAACAGTTTCTGTAGGGAGTCAGATGTTTCTTATTCATAGAAACTTGACACTGGATCATCTTTTTAAATATTTTTTGACACTGGATCATCTTCATCAGTTTGAGAGCTCTCATTTCCATTAATGGCCTCTCCTTGGAAAGAAACCATTTTAATTATTTAGTGCCTGTCTGAGATGAGCAGAGCACAGAGCCTTTCTGGGATGCTAACTGGGCACTGTCTGAGTCACTTCTGGGCATGCTACACTAACTTTGGGCCTTCCCACATAGCTGACTTCTGCAGTTCCCAAGCCTGCAGGGCTGCCTGTGTAAACTACTGAATGTAAGTTTCCTCATGTGCTTAAAAGTTGATGATTAAGAACAGTTAAAATTCTAGCATCTGGATTTGTAGTTAAACATGGTAGATTGGTCACTCAAGTGAGAGTAAAGATTAGGTTGGGGGGTGAGGTGGGGCGTCTCAAAAGCAGGAGGAAACAGAGAATGTGAGAGACAAGACAACAGCCAAAAAGAGAGTTTAGACATTTGGGAGTAGACTCGGTAGATGACTTTAGGGGAGATGGTAACCATTGAGAAGCACCCTGATTGCTCCTGAAGGACCAGACATTGATGCCAGTGGTTACAATGATTCTGGGCTGGATGTGCGGACTTGACTGAAGAAAATGTCCTAGACTGATAACCTGATGAGTATGGGGGTAGGGAAGGATCCATAAAATATACAGAAAATAAATTTTTAAAAAAAAATCTGTCAGGTATGTCATCATGAATGTTCAGGCTCTGGTATATAAACAAACATCAAAAACAGGTCATGTGCAGGGATGGTGACTAGGGATGGTGACAGGCTTCCCTGTCATATAGACACTAAGAAGATAGGACAGCAGTGTTTTAAAATACTGAGCAGCAAAAAGAAAAAACAAAAAATACTGAGCAGCTGTTCTCTGCAACCGAAGAGGGCGGCACTCTGCCACTCTACCAGTCAGCAGCAGACTAGAATAAAGATACAGGCTGCAAGTATTTCCTTCCCCTCTACTGCCTTTCTCTGTAAGCTCTTGAAAGGAAAACTGCCTCACAATTCAGAAAAGAAGTGAGGAAGACCTAGAAAGCAGCTGGGGATTGGGGGGGGGGTAGAGTGGGTTGAGAGGCAGTATCGGCCAAGGTATCTAGGAAAGAAGCCCCATGGAGAGGTGGTGGGAAGAGTGTGGAACTGGGATTTTGTTGCACTTCGTTACTTGGAAAATTGTATTGTATATTTATTAAAGCATGTGGGAAGAATTGGGAAATTAACACAGAAAATTTAAGGGAAATACGTAAAGGAGGAGGGGAAAGCAATTATAATAGGAAAACAAAAATGGAAACATACCAAGCAATTTTTCTTAGCAGTAACCTATGTCTGTGTCCTCATAACTACATGAACACTAGACTCCCCAAATGCTGTGATGTTTCTTTATGATTGATGTGGTTGGGAGCGACTTGGGGGTAGGTGTAAAAGAGCTAAATCCTCATCTGTCCTTGTTAGACATGAGTAGACAATGTCTAATATTAAATCTAAGAACTGACCATCTGTGTTTGCTATTTCAAAATATGAAGGTAAACACCTAAAGAAACAGTGGCATTACTTTGAAGTTGTGGTAGGGGGTGAGAGGAGGGCCTAGTAGGGATTTTGCCGCATTTTATTATTTACCATTTACTGTTTAATTCTTTAAACTATCATCTTGAATTATTTTGGTTGAGACTTTCCTGAATAAAATACTTAAACAGTCTTCACACTTCCTCTTAAAGAGACCCGAAGGCTTCCTCATAGTATCTTTCTGAGAAGTCCCATCACAAGGGTTCTTTCTCTAAGTACTGAGGTCATGTCTGCTGCTTTGCACTTTGCCCCATCTAACCTCTGCATCTGACCTGGCCAGGGTCTGCCTGAGTGCCTTTGGGTTGCAAGGGTTTTCTTGCTCTTAGTCACAGACAAGAAAGTGCTTTTATGGATTGTCTGGTGTGTGCCAGCCATCGTTCTAGAGAGTGTGCGTGAAAACTTTACACAACACCAGGAACCCAGCCACGGATAGTCTCCTGCGGAGTCAGAGAATCAAATTGAGAGTAGTTTAGACAGTGTGACTGGCAGGGATAGAACTTGAATGGGGCTCTGGCTGGCTCCAGATCCTTAGCTGGGGAGTCAGACTTGTTTTTAAAAGGGTGGCTAGTTTAACAAGGATGCATAACAGTATGTTTAAGATGTTGTCAGGATGAGTTAGAATATTCTTCACTTTAGGTCATTCTGACATCAAGATAAAGAATATTACTGACATATCCCAGAAGACCCTGAGAATCGCTGATCTTCAAGGTAAAACAAGTTACCATCTGGTACTGCGAGCCTATACAGACGGTGGACTGGGCCCAGAGAAGAGCATGTTTGTGGTGACAAAGGAAAACTGTAAGTTCAACACTGCCCTCCAGTTGCCATCACCGCTGAAGTGAGAGTGTTTCTAGCATTCGGGGACTGCACAGAGGCCTCTTTCTTTCCTCTTCTAAAGTTCCATGTCTTGTTGCATTTTTATGTCAGATAGAGAGCAGTGTTAAAAAGCTGTGAAATGATGGCTTTCTGCTTTTCTCCTTGTCAGTCATTTTAAGCTATTTCCTGGTGAGTACCTAAGAAATTAATTAAATGTGGGTGTTGGGAACTGAATCTGGGTCCTCTGCAAGAGCAACCAGTGCTTTTAACTGACATCTCTCCAGCCCCATGGAATGTTGTTTAAATTTTTGTGAATCACAGTACTTTAGTTTGAGATAGCAATAAAAACGGATGGCAGCCTTTGCCGTCTTTCACCATTGGAGAGCTTGGATTTTCTTTAGCTTCCCCTCTAACCCTGAGGGGAGTTCACATTGAGCTCTGAAGTAAGAGAACCGTGACGTGAGGTTGTGGTTCACCACAGCAGTATTTTAAAAGCTGGAGGTGATTTTGCCCCCTAGGAGACAGACAGCTTGGCAGTGTCTGGTGGTATTTTTGACTCTTGTAACTGGAGTGCTACTGGCATCTCATGGTTAGAGACCAGGGATGCTATGCTAGACTTCCTGCAGCACACAGGACAGCCCTTCCATCACTACCTCATGCCAGAAACATTGGACCTCTATGTCACTAGTGGCAAGATTAAGCGACTCTGTAGAAGTTTTTTTTAGTGTTCCTGGGTCAGGTTTTTGTTTTTCCTCTCTCTTCAGATAATAATTTAAATGTCTTCTGATTTAAGTCTATTCTGTACCCAGTACTAACAGTAGTGGTTTTCAATATTTGTTACTGTCTTTCCAGCTGTAGGATTAATTATTGCCATCCTCATCCCTGTGGCTGTGGCTGTCATGGTTGGAGTGGTGACAAGTGTCCTTTGCTATCGGAAGCGAGAATGGTAATGGGACCTGTTTGCCCTCTCTTTGGTTCATGGCTTCATTATTCAGTTACCATGTACAAGCTAGTCAAATACACTTTTTTACTTAGAATGTTGACTTTGATATCACATAAGAATTTGACATTTTATTGAAATGTGTTAGAGCTCATAGAGTAAAAGTGTTCATTTCCCCTGCTGTCTTTACTAATAATTTATAAATGGCAATTTCGCTTAAAAAATTTCCATGTATAAATTGATAGTCGCTGTCTGCAGGATAAAATGTAACTTAATGATTAAGATCACAAGTGTCCTGGTGACCTCTTAGAACTCATCACATAAGCTCCTTTCCATGAGAATGGGGTTACAGCTATGCATAAAACAAGCCTGTCCTCAGAGTCTCACATGGGAGGTAGAGCTTCTATAAGGGTGGGGGGGCGGTAATATGTGATTGGCTGAAGTGCGAGAGAGAGGTGGGAGTTGGGGTAAGATGGACAGGTGGTAGGAAGAAAGCACTGTCCTGAGCTGAGATGGGACAAAAGGCTGCCTTCAGCAGGGAAAGGGCCTCACTTTTTAAAACACGCCCTCACTATGACAGAAGAGAATGTGCTCTAGCAATCCTGGCTTCTAAATCAAAACAGTAATAGTTGCATATAAAATTACCTATTTCGGTAACTATATCTTTATCCTCCCTTCCCCCTATTCCTGCTTTAAAAAAAAAAAAAAACTATTTCAATACCAAAGCAAAACAAAAACAAAAAATTCACAAAGTAAAATGGACATTTAGAAGCTGTAACATTTCAGACTCATGTTGACAAAGTTACTTTCCTGCAGGAATTACACACAATAAAGTTCTAGTTTTAAGTGTAAAAATATACGCTATTGAGCAAATCTCATTTTTGCTTGTGTTGAATTTCTGGTCAAGATTGGTAGCCTTTCCCCACTTAGCTCCCCAAGCAATGTCCTTCACATGTGGCTGTCACCTTTAACTTCCTAGAATGATGGCTTGTGGCTGTCATCCCTATACTTGGGAGGTTAAGACAAGAGAAATGCCTCAAGGCCAGTCTGGACTACATGGTGAGGCCCTATATCCAAAAAAAAAAAAAAGAAAAATAATAAATTTACTTAAAACAATTTAAAATACTGTTTTCCCCACCTTGGTCAAGTGTGTCCACAGCACACTCCAGACCAAGAGAGAACTGCACAGGCAAACAAGCTCCCTGGGTTGCTAATCCTGCTTAATCTAGTCTGCGGTGAAAAATTTGGCTGTCTGAACAATGACCATATTTTATGAGATGTGAGAGCAGCCTCCATTGTAATTATTTGCTTTCCATTTCCATAAGACCAATAAGGTATTTCAACTGGAGGATTAGAATGACTGTTTCTAGTTTTCAAATTGGAGGCTGGTATAGAAAGCTCGAGTGACTGCTCCCATACTAAAGAATTTCCATTTTATCTCAGACGTTCACTGACATTTCATATGAAGACTCTAAGCTTCTAACTAACATCTCAATATTGTTACATAAGTAAATAGAATAGCTATTAAGTCTACTTGTTCACTCTTTATTTAAAGGATTAAAGAAACTTTCTACCCTGATATTCCAAATCCAGAGAATTGTAAAGCGCTGCAGTTTCAGAAAAGTATCTGTGAGGTAATCCTTTCTTTTCCTGAATTTGTCTTCGAAGTACTGCCTCTTTTGTGAAAAGTTTGTAAGGTGTAGATGTCACCCTCAGAAAAAAGGATGGAAAAAAATAGCATGCTTTAACAAATTGTTGAGTTTCCAGGGTTGCTCATCTTAAATTGTTTGTACCATGCTTTTTTTTTTTTAAACTGCTAATAGCAAGGAAAATAATGTGGAGAAAAAAAGTAGCTTTGCTCTGATGTGTACTTTATAGTAGCAGAGGCAAATATTTATAAGCAGATATGAAAAAATAAGTAAAATATGACTTCTTATGTCGATGGGGCATTGTAGTAGCATTTGGTGCTGTGTTAACCACTCTTCCAAATTTACTTCTAGGGAAGCAATGCTCTTAAAACATTGGAAATGAATCCTTGTACCCCAAATAATGTTGAAGTTTTGGAAAGTCGATCGATAGTTCCTAAAATAGAAGATACAGAAATAATTTCTCCAGTAGCTGAGTGTCCTGAGGAAAGTGAGGCAGACCCTGAAAACCATGTGGTTGTGTCTTACTGCCCACCAATCATCGAGGAAGAACTAGCAAATCCTGCAGCAGATGAAGCAGGAGGGACGTCCCAGGTTGTGTACATTGACATTCAGTCCATGTACCAACCTCAGGCCAAACCAGAGGAGGAGGCAGATATTGAACCCGTGGTGGTGGCGGCGGTGGCAGGCTATAAGCCCCAAATGCGCCTCCCCATTAACTCTGCTGTAGAAGAGACAGCTGCAGAAGATGACACAGATAAGACTGCAGGTTACAGGCCTCAGGTCAATGTAAATACTTGGAATTTGGTCTCTCCAGACTCCCCAAGGTCCACAGACAGCAACAGTGAAGTAGTCTCTTTTGGAAGTCCGTGCTCCATCAATTCCCGACAATTTTTGATTCCTCCTAAAGATGAGGACTCTCCTAAATCTAGTGGAGGAGGATGGTCCTTTACAAACTTTTTCCAGAACAAACCTAATGATTAGCCAGGTCACCCTCTCTGCCACTTCAGTCTGCATCTCAATAAGCTCTCACTGCTGGTGGTACAGCAGTTGCCGCATTCCTGGAGGGACCTTGGAAGTGTTGAGAGCCAGGGACCTTCACTCCGGGCAAGTGCTGATGCGCTTTCAATGTAGCCTAAAACCAAAGCACGGCGACCCAGAACCCTCACCACAAAGACTCAAGGTTTGGAGCTGTTGGTGATTGAGCCAAAGAATTCTTCCAGAAGCATTTCAAGACTAACTCTGTCTAGTACATACATGTAAAACAAATCCTGCAACTGTTGTCTGTTGTTAATGGTTTTCTCCTCTGTATATGTTATGGAATTGGAAGTGGATTTACAGGCAAGGGAGAGAAATGTCAAAGTCAAAATAATGTTTATTTGCCTGACATTTACTGCAGTCTAGAGGAAAACCAAACACAGATTTTAAAACTTTAAAGATGTCTCTATCCACAGCATTTACAAGTGTTAATGTAATTATTAATGTAGCAACAGCTGTTTAGTGTTCTGTTTGATAAAGTGTGCTGATTTCAGTGCCTACTGTAATGGTTATCAAACAGTTGTCTCAGGGGTGCAAACTTGGAAAAAAAAATGTGTGACACTGAGCAGCCCAGATCAGAATCATGTTTTCTTGCTTTGGTGGGTTTCCAGCCTCTCCACCCATCAGCTTTCTCCTATTAGTGCAGCTCGTTACCCTGATAGTTGAAGTTTCCAGGACCAATACATCCAAATTTTCTCTTGAAATTCACTTTGTGTTACAGGGTCAGCTTTATCAAGCAAATTCAACATTATTCACAAACATAATTGTAATGAGCTACCATGTAAGATGTCTACTTGTAGTATCGATGACATTCACTGGCAGCTCTGATTAGTTCAGTTTTCCCTGAGGAGGCATGCCATTAAGCCTGGCCACCAGCTGCTGATGATCTCTGGGGCCTCCAACAGCTTTTCTCCTGCTCATGGGTCATAGCCTTTCTTCCCTCAGGTGATCAGTGGTCCAGACTATCAGATGCAGCCCTCAATCCAGAAACAGATGACTGAAGTGAGATTGCTTCTTCCAGGAGCAGATACTGAAGGGCAATTTCATAAGTAGAGGTTATAAAACCCATGAACATGGTGGGTGCTGGGTGTCAGTTGCTGTATGAGCCACGTAGAGCTGAGTCCCGAGCACAGCACCCTCTATCTGCCTTGGTTTCTCGTTAGTCATGTGTGCAGTGAATCTGTGGTTCTTAGAAAAGCAGAGTGAAAAACTAAAAAGTATGTCATGTCTCATTCCTGCCCTTGAATTGTCAAAGTACTTGGAAATTTGAGACCTCTAAGTAAGAGAGGCTTGCTTGTATCATCCGAAGCTCTGAGATAGGTTTAAAATAATGGTGGTTCAGTCTTTTTAGTTCATATTTTATCTTTAAAGAGAATTATGTTGTGGAAGCTGGAGAGATGGCCCAGCAGTTAAGAGCAGTGGCTACTCTTGAAGAGGGCCCAAGTTTGGTTTCCAGCACCCACATGGTGGCTAACAACCATCCTTAACACCAGTTCCGGGAGATCCGACACCCTCCTCTGGCCTCTGGACATTGCATACACATGATACACTTACATACTGTAGGCAAAACACTCATCCACATAAAGTACTTAAAAAATGTATGTTGTGGAAGAAAATCACAGAGTGACAAGGGACAAAAATATCTGATAAGCACTCAGTGTATGATCCTGATTTTAACTGCCACTATTCAACTACATTTCAGAGCTTCATGATATTGCATATGGATATGTAGAATGAATTAAAATTAATTATGCACATGTATAGTATCTTAAAGTCATAGAGTAGCTATTAGAAAATTTCAGTAATGAAAAGTACTCCAAACCAGAGCAATGTCCAGAGTTTTCTCTCATTTTTCTTTGTTCCCTCTTTGACTGCTTCTTTAAAAGACCTGGCCACTCTGTCCATGAGCTGCCTCCCCTCTCTGCATAGCTTGCCTTTGCTGTGCTCTGCTTGCCCTCAGCTAATGCCTTGTTCCCCATTGAAGTTTATCAGTCCCAAATTCCATCTCTTTAGACCGAGTGTCGACTAAAGTGATAACATCATTCTGAAGTTCATTAACCTGGTAACACAAGTAAAGGTTAGAAGAAATGGGTTGGTTCTGTCATCAAAATATGTCCCTTTCACCTGGGTCTCTGGAGTGCAGGACTTCGCTGTCTGAAGAGTTCATCTGTCCTTGCCTCTGGAGTTCCATGCCCAAAGACCACTGGCTTAGTAAGAGGCAGAGTATCCCTGGATTAGTTTAGCAGCACCACACCCCTGTGCAGTGTTTTTACCTCTCCAGCCCTCCTTAGTTTGTGTGTGCAGGGAAAGCCTCAGCAGAGAGGACAGGCATGGGGCGGAAGAGAGTACCTTTGCCAACTGTCCCATTCTTTGGGACACTGCTGAATGTATACTGTTGCATCAGTGCAGGTACTGTGGTCATGTGTGCAAGGTGGTCTGAGAGTGGACATGCACTGGAGTCAGGGAGGGTTAAGGACCAGGGAGAGGAGGCTCAATATGTTCCCAGCCCTTCTTGACTGGTGAAAAGAAGGGAAATTTTTCTTAAGGAAAACCCAGTCATTGGCCAGAAAGTTACAGAGGTCTCAATTAGAATTAGGTTCCATTCTATCCAACAGAACTGTAGACAGGACATAATTATAAGCCCGTTTCACTCACTCACACGTTCCTTGTGAGCAATGGAGATTCTGGGGGGCTGGGGGAATCAATATAACATTTGTGGCTATTTTAAATAATACTTCATTTTAAAATATTCTTAAATGCTTAATTAGGCTTTTGACATTAAAGCTGTGAGTTTTGTACTTTTTGTACCTTTGAATATGAATTAGTACACATGTACACTCTGAGTCATCCCATTTGTTGAACCTGCAGTCTCCTGGCTTTGAGACAAGACGGTGGCCCTGCATATCTGGATAATCAAGTTGTGTGGTTCTGTGCTGTGTGATAGAGGTGCTTTGTTCCTGCAGCTGGCAACAGAAGCAGCCATTCATCCACAAGCTCAAGGGAGGAAGCATTGGCCTCATTTTCCGTACCAGCCTTGCTTTCACAGCTATGGATCTGAAGGATTGCATTTAGAACATGTAGTACCGAGGCACCGAGCAGTGATAATAGAAATTTGCGTTCTCAAGGCTTCATGCACACTGAATTCTTAGTGAAATTACGCCTGTCGTTTCTTCATTGCTTTCATACTGTCTGTATTTAACAAATATTACAATCCTTTCTGTTTGGATAAGTAAGTGTAATTTAGGGAAAGAAGCTTAAGAATGTTTTCTTCCAAAGGGAATTTGAAATCAGCTTCATGGTATTTTGAAATGAAAGTACCCCTGAATATGTCAATATGCAGAAAGTATTATTATCTTAAAGTTTTCTACTGCTTGGGCACTTAATATGATGAAACTTTTGTTTGTTTGCACTAAGGTAATTTCTGGTGTTTTCTGTCTCAAACTGTGTTAAAATTTGTGAAATGCCTTTTATTTTTTTCTCATTTTGAAAGTGTCATATCAGGCATCTCAAGTGAAATATGGGGGGAATGATTAGCTGCTAATGCCAGGCACAGATGGAAGTTCTGTGGCCGACTGTATTGTTGGAGTCCCAGAGTGTTGCAAATTCAGTGGAACTGTCTTGAAGGTGGTAAAGATCCAGATCAGCTCGCATAGAAATGATTGGTTCAAAGATCTGAATCTGCTGTAGAAGCTGCCCCACAGTTTGAAGAACTCTTACATAGATACCCTTTGTAGTTTTAGCTAAGTGGAGTTTGCTTTTAGCTAATGGATGGGTACTCAATTTTGAAACATGTTTGTATCAGTCCAGTAGATGTTATGACAAACAATGTGTGAATTTAATTAAGAACTCATTCTCTGTATAAGATATTTTTTCAAGACATTTCTTTTAAACTGCTGTTTTCTGCCAAAACAGTTTTGTAATATCATATCCGCCTTATCTATTGTATTCAGAAGTAAAAAAAAAAAAAATTAGAGAACATAAAACTTGTGGCCAGACTTACAGGACATTGCTCTTTTAGGTAGAACCCTAGAATATCATTGGAAATCACTTGGCTTGAATTTGGCTTATCTGTTTTCATGGATTATGTACCAGGGCTATTAATAATATTTAAGCCTCTTATTCTACAGGGTTGTTAGTGCTTTTATCTTTTCAATTAGTGCTTGTGTCTTAACCCTTGCATGATCATGTTCATGCTAATTATAATGCAGATGGATTATTTCTAAATGCCAGCATGAAAGACTGAGAACAGCACTCATTCAGCTGATTAGTGTTAGGTATGTTGCATCTTACAGAATTTCAGAGGTTGTCATTGGTCTAGAATTATGATGGAATTCCATTATTTTAAACCAGAATAGTGCTTGTTTCTCCCTTTGTCATGAATGATAATTTTTGGAATTATGTGTCTAAAGTATAAATAGAAATTACTTAGGCCAAATTCTAGCTGCGCTACACTTTTACATAGGTAAACTATAATGGATTTCACATTAACCAAATACAAATCCATGATAGTATATTATTTTTTGATTGTTGGAACTGAATAACCTAAATTTTTTTTTAACTACTAATGAGAAATAAGGAAATTGATTGTTGTTGTACTCAAATACATCTTAAAGGTCACCTATGTAGTGTCCAGTCAGCACTTAAGAAACAAACTACAAATAGACTTGCTGTAAAGCCTGAAATATTTCATATGACTGATTGACTGGCTCATTTAAGTTTATTGTGTTTACATTTAAAATGTACTCTCATTTTTAAATTCCTTTGTAAATGGGTGATTTTCCAGATATTCCATTAATATACTATCAAAAATCAAAAGATTTCTAGGTGATAGTACAATTTTCACTAAGTCATGACCAAGCTAGCATTTTTTTTTTTCAAGAGATCATTAGAAAAAAAATACTGAATAATGGTTTCCATGAATTTGGTTTCAAATGATATTCCCCAGTTTGGTCCAAATGCTTTCTACCCATTTACTTTCTAATAGATCAGCCATAAGCATCTAGCTCCTTCTGCTGAATTTTCCTTCCAGTATAATATTTAGGAAAAAGCTGACTAGCATAGTGAAAAGCTGAAGATTGGACATGGTCAGTTCATTGCAGAGGAGGGGTAGGCAGACCTGATACCCTGGGGCATGACTTATTCTCCAATACATTTCCATGTATTAAAAGATTGTTGATTTAAAAGATTGCTCTGGAATAGAAAAATAGACATCCTAAATTTGAGATGGTACCACTTTACTGGCATGTCCCCAAAGGTAAAATAAACCTTTTAAAAATATTCAGTGTTTTCTAATGAAATTTTCACTTTGACCATTTCCTTCATTAGCTGGCCATAAGTCAGCATTCTTATAACACTAAAATATTACCAGTTTTTACTTTCAAATTTGCATTACAGTGCATTACTGTTTACAAAATACACATACTGTGAACAGATCTGTTTTTGTCTTTTGTAAAGTTTGTAGGATGAATGTTTTTTTTAAAGGTGGTATTATGTTAAATATTTTTAGGTTTTTATAAATACTAGCAACTGCTTACTAACTTTTGTTTGGTCAGGTGTGTGTAAATGTAGCTGAAAGAAGAGAGAAAGTGCAGCTCCAAAATTGTTCCCTCGTCCATTTCTTATAAAGTTACCACTACAGACAGTTTTGTGTTAACACAAATGATCAGTTGTGATGTGCTATACCTAAAACCATGTTTCATCATACAAGGAACCTTTTAAGTATGCATATGTAGGAAACACTAGATTGATGTACGTTTGTGTGATTCACTGACTTACAGAATTCTGTGTTTAGTATGGAATAAAACAACTCCACTTACAGAGATGACAACTCTAATATTTCCTGCCTTGTGAAAAATTGGATAGTATGGGAAATTTAAACATTTTGTGTCATAATTTCAGAATTTGGTTTCCATATCCTTTCGAACACATGGTTATCACAAAAACATAGAATATAAGTAACCTATTACCATGACATCTTAAATATAAAACTAGTATGCTTGGCTGTTAACTCTATAAAGATGTTACTTATGTCTGTTTTTAAAACATGCATGTATTTAACAATTTTATCATTGTATTGTCATGGAAAAAATAAATATATTTTCTTACATCTTATCCTGATGAATTTACATGGTTATCACAAAAACATAGAATATAAGTAACCTATTACCATGACATCTTAAATATAAAACTAGTATGCTTGGCTGTTAACTCTATAAAGATGTTACTTATGTCTGTTTTTAAAACATGCATGTATTTAACAATTTTATCATTGTATTGTCATGGAAAAAATAAATATATTTTCTTACATCTTATCCTGATGAATTTGGACATTATTGATTTTAGGGCTTTTTCTCATGTCTCAAATATGTAGGAAAAGTGGCTCTTGCTTTACTTTAAAAAAATTCTATCCCATAAGAATTACAGTAGTTCTAAAACAAAGAAAGCTATAGCTATATTTTTAGTATTTGAAGACAAATTTGGTTAACCTTCTATCTATTCCATTAAATTAGTATTCTATTTACCAGAGAAATTGGCGTAACAATGATCAAAAAACGCAAACCCCGCATTCGCAAGTAAGCACTGACTGGCCCTTAATGCCAGGTTTTTAATTTATTACATCCCAAGTCAGCCTAAATATTCCTGGAGTTTCTGGGAATACATCAAAATCTCAATTCACTGAATTCTGAAGTATAGTAATTGATTTAGCAAAACTAGTCATTTTAAAGTATAAAGTGCTCTTAAATAGTAGAGGCTCATAGAGGAAGAAATGAAGTTCTTTGTTCTCTGTAGCTCAGAATTAGCAAGAGTAACAGCTAAAGCATGAGTGAACCTGGCTTTAGCCTGCAGAAAGTGCAGAGTAGCTGTAAATTAGTTGTGAAACACATGTTAGTACTTAAGTGCTAGAAATGCTCATACATATGGTCTATACTTTGGGGAGTTCTCAATGCATAACTTGTTTCCCAGAAGGTGAATTCTGGAGCCAAAATGTATACCACCATCAACCCCAGGAACCTTGGAAAGGTCAAAGAGAAAAGAATGATGTGCTTATTAGAAAGAAAAATAAGGCTGGGTGTGGTGGTGCACACCTTTAGTCCCAGCACTTTGGAGGCAGAGGCAGGCAGATCTCTGTGAGTTCAAGGCCAGCCTGGTCTACATAGTTTCAGGCCAGTAGGGGCTACAGGGAGACCCTGTCTCAAAAAGACAAAAAAAAAAAGAAAAGAGATGGATGAATAAGCTTTTAATGCATGACATCCAACATCACACTAAAATGTTAGTTTGCAAACTCCACTTCTTTACAAAAGAACTAAAGAATTCCTCTTTCCCTTGAATGACCAGCAGACATTTGGTCTTTACAATCCAGGGAAGTTGGGGTAATGAGATGACTTGAACTGATTGGGAATTAAAGTGGAGCTGTTTGGGATCCTGAGCTCACCACTGACCACCTGGATCACTGGAGGATCTCAATACCTATTTCAAGACTTGGGATTAGGATGGGCAGAGCAAATAACACTACGCACAAGATAGATGTTTATGATGTGACAGACTTTCTGACCCACACCATAAAGGTATAAATGTTTGCATATCACACCCTCCCTTGCCTTGCTCAGCTATGTGGTTGACAGTGCTCAGCAAAAGTACACCCTGTGATCTGTTCCCCTAGAGCTCAGCTGGAACTCCCATTTCCTAGGTAACTTCTTCCATCCCCAGGTCTTTCAGAGGTGATTTTAGACACTCGTGTCCTCAGATCCCTAGTCCTTTCCTGCATGATCCCTGTACTTTCCCATGGTACCATGGACCTTCTTGAGGCTTCATCTGGAAATCATAGTGTCTAGGAGCATTGTTATATTCACAGAGCGTGGTGCAGTATCTGCCACAACATCTCAGGAGCTTGATAAATGTTCTTTAAAAGTGTCCTAAGAAAAGTGAAAGGGTTAATGTGTTCCCCAGTTATTTTATGCAGGGTGAACCTCTTGTGGAATATTCTCCAGTGATGGAAAAATAAGGAGTCCTCATTAAACTGCTGTCCTTGGAATAGGGCTAGATTCACCCTGTGCTAGCTATAGGCAAATCTGGATTGGACAAAACAAATAATACTATAGAAAAATTAGCAAATAGATAAAAGGAAAAAGAAAATTACATAGTCTTGGATAATACTGGCTCTTTAACAATTCACTTTATCCTTTTAGACATTTTTCCTGTGTGAATGTGTGTTCATATGCAGGCACATATTTGCATATAGATAAAAGAGTGATGGTATATTTTCTAGTTGGGACCATTGTTGGTTGATTTAATATATTTTAAAAAATCTTACTAATGGAATATTTTTAAGGTTTTCACAGATGTATAAAGTGCCAATGGACAGATGAATTATTTAATTGCATATTCCATACTCCCCCCCCCTTTTGGTCTTTTTGAGACAGGGTCTCCCTGTAAACCCAGCTGGCTTTGAACTCGCTATGTAGACCAGGCTGGCCTTGAACTCAGAGATCCACCTGCCTCTGCCTCCTGAGTGCTGGGATTAAAGGTGTGTGCCACCAGGTCCAGCAAATTCTAGACTTTTTATATTGCCCAAGTTTTTTTCACTGAATAGTGGGTGACTTTGAAAGTCAAAAACCTGGAACTGGAGAGATGGTTCAGTGGTTAAGAGCACTGACTGCTCTTGCAGAGGACCCAGGTTTGATTCCCAGCCCCCACATGGCAGCTACGAATGGTCCTTAACTCCAGTTCTAGGGGAATCCAAAGTTTTCTTCTGACTGTCGCGGCACTGCACAACACAGGTGCACTCACATACATGCAGGCAATATACTCATACACATAAAATGAAAATAATAAATAAAAATAATTTTTTAAAAAGTCAAAAACTTTTACTGTGGTGGCACATATCTTTAATCCCAGCACCACTTGGGAGGCAGAGGCAGATGGATCTCTGTGATATTGGGACTAGCCTGGTCTTCATAATGGATTGCAGGCCAGCTGAGGCTAAAAGGAGACCCTATCTCAAAAAGAAAAGGAAAAAAATGACTTTGGCCTGAGTTTGGTCAGAACTAAGGAATGACACTTGAATTTCACACTGGGAGCTATTCACACATCATACGTGAGAAGTCTCAAAGCAACTTTGCCATAAAATGTGGTCTTTTACAACTAACTGACTAATGAAGATTTGGATCTAATTCAGAGTTCTGCTTACATGCCATTTCCTCTAAGATGTGGCCAAGAGTGCTGGAGTCTGGGCTGCCCAGGGCTCATGCCGAGGGACAATGGAAAAGGGCAGTTGCATGACTCAGTTTCTTCAGTCCCCAGGGCACCAGTGCCAGCAACTGTGCTCCAAAGGCAGTCACTGGCAATGAGTCCTTATATTCAAGGAAAATGGGATTTGGGGGAACTATAAATAGGAGTTCCAAAATAGATTTTGCTCTCTGGATATAGACTTCCCCTATCCTCTGAGTCTTTGATTCATTATTAGGGAAGTAGCCGGGATATTCTTCATATATAAACATAAACAGCATTTTAAGTAAATGAATATAGTTGAGGGTGAAGTGTTATCTGTAGGTAGCAGAAATTGGAAGGTACAGTTGAAAATGGTTATCTGCAGGCAGGACTTCAGAAGTCGCCAAGACTTTTTAAATTTTTATTTTATGTGTATGAGTATATTGCCTGCACGTATATAAGTGTACCCATGTCGTGCAATGCTCTTGGAGGTCAGAAGAGGGCGTCCAATTCACCTGGAACTGGAGTTACAGACAGTTGTTAGCCTCTGTGTGGGTTCTGGGGATCGAACCCAGGTACTCTGCAAGAGCAGCCAATGCTCTTAACCACTGAGTCCTCTCTCCAGCCCCAAGAAGTCCCCAAGACTCTTGCCCCCTGGAGTGAAGGGTTCTTGCCCCCAACTGAAGAAGATAGAACATTATTCCCAATGTTAAGTTGCTAATGAGTGGCCTTTGAAGCTAAGAAACAGCAGGTCTTGTCTCCTCTGTAAGAGCTCCCGGATTCAACCTTCTCTAAAAGACAGTCTCCCTTGACCTTCAAAGGATGGGATGGGCTGTGAGCTTGAAGCAGGTGCTGAGCCTCAGAAGACCACTGCTCTGATGCCTTGATTTCTGTTTTATATTCCCACCAGCTTCTTAGCAATAGTAAGCCCTCAGCAAATGTTTGTGAAACAAGCATGGTTTGGTGAAGGAGGGTTTTGGAGGAGTGGGCTATAACAAGGTTCCCGAGGACCCTATGGACCACTGACCCTCAACAACCCAAGGCCACTGAACAAACTCCCAAGGGCTTTTGACTTCCAAACCAGACAGAGTAAGATCACCAGGTGAGACCTCAGTCCTGGGCAAGTGGTTTTGACCCTACCAGCCTGGTCTGTGGGCAGCAGCCAATCATCAGACAGGCTTTTTTCATGTCTGAGGTCTTGTGAATGTGGCCTGGACAAGGAGCGGACACATTTTCTGCGGGGCACTCTATTCAGCAGTGCCCCCGTTTACACCTCCCTCCCATAGTTGCCTTTTGACCCCCAAGTTCAAGTGAGTTGGAATGCCTGGTACAGGCGCTGAGGTCACCATGCTGTGGCCCTGTGACCCGGCTTGCCTCTCCTCCCACAGTTCCCTGGTCTGATACTTTTCTCTGCCTCTGCTTTCCTTCCTCCAGCTTCCTAACAGGGCTTTCCTCAGCTAATCCCTTGGCCTAGTGCCCCTGACTTTTGCTATTAAACGAGTATAAACGGCAAGACAAATTCCTTGAGCCTCCCTGGCCTTCCTTCTCAAGACATTCCAATCCACGTCCTCCTTTACTAGCCAAGTCAGAGCTGCGGTCCCTTAGTACCAGACTGTCCAAGGAAGCCATAGCCCCAGGCTGGGCCCCCCACCTAGAAGTAGGCAGCTGGGACGTCAGGCGGAGGCCACAGTACATGTTGGGAAACTTCTGCACTTTTGGACACTCTTTGGATCTTAAAGCAGAACAAGATAGATGGATAGAAGATGCTTCTTCCAAATGCTAAGCTGTGATGTTCCTCTCTCATCTTTCCAGGAAAGGGCAAGTGCTCATAGGAGCCACATACTTTCGAGGACAAAGACATGTAAGCAAGAGAAAGCAGCGAAAGGAGGCGAGGCAGAGATTTTATCTGCTATCTGCCCCTTACTTTCAGCTCATGGTTTGGCTAAGGCAAGGCAGGGGCCCAGGGATCACGCTGCTTGGCCAGAAATAAACAACTCCCCTGAGGTTATTTATGGAGAGGAAGGCAGAAGAAAGAAGGAAAAAGTGTTGACTCCAGCCCTAAGCGCTGTAAAGGGGCCTGTCTGCCACTCTGCTGGAAGAGCTCTGGCTTCCACCTTCCCACCAGCACTGGAAGGGCCCCGAAAGAAGTCTCTCTCATCAGCTATGACAACAGATTGGCAAGCCAACCCTTAGGAACCAACCTCTGCCCAGAACCCACTCATATACATGACTACACTGCCAGGATAGTGAACCCCAGAAAGCCTCAGACTGCCACCCAAAACTCCTGGTGTCCTGCTCCCCAATGCAGTATCAAGGTTGTGCTCTCCCAGTGAGACCGCAGGAAGTCACCTCTATTTCTGCATAGCTTCCCTGTTCCCAAGCCAAACAAGCCCTGCCCACCTGCTCTGGCCTTCTTAGGAGCACAACTGTTATTAAGATCAAATACATGAACATTCTTTGGACATGAGGTTGAAGTTGATTACTCAGAAGGCCTAGCCCAGAAGCCAGTCCATGCTGTCAAATAGATTAGTCATATGCTAGTCTCCGTGAAGACACCTTTAACCTAGAACTCCCTGAGGACAATCTGTCACCTCCACCAAGGCGGGTCAGCTTCAGTGCCTCCAGACTTGGAATTTTATGGCCTCCCAATGAGTGAGGCATGGCCTCGCAGTGCATGAGACAGGGTCTCAGTAGCCATCTTTTTGGTTTAGAGTGTACTGAGTGCATCCAGTTACTGCTCGAAAGACACCTTCTTCAGGTTGCGAAACCATTGTGGGATCTGGCAAAAGCCACACACATCCTTAATTTGGGACTGTTATTTTGATTCTTGCTGGTGTCTCTCCCTGCCTCTGGGTTCCCTCAGGGAGAAAGTTCCAGAGAATTGCTTACGTCCCTCCTCTCAGCAGAGAATGTGCCCTGGCACGGGCAGGCTCGCCCTTCACAGACCTCCATCTTCATGGGCAGCTACTGTGCATTCCTGGGCTGGGCAAAGCTGGAGATGGCAGGAAGGAAAGAGGGAATGGATGCAGCTAATGCTGTGTCCAGACCTCTGTCTTCACTATCCTCTGCAAGTGAATTGTCTGCCTGTATCTAGTGGCAGCTGGGCCTCTGCATGCTGCCTTGGGCAGTTTGCTTTCAGGAAGAACAGCCTGCTGGGTGACAGGCTGGTGGTCAGGCTGCTGTGAGGGGCTGTGGCCCCTCCTCCTCGATTTTCTTCCTTTGGGAACTCACAGTGCTAAAAACAAGCTTTCTGAGAACCATATTTTTCTGGGTTAAAGGTGAAAAATGCAGCATTTCCTCCAAGTGGAAAGCACTCCCCTGCCAGCTCCGGGCGCATTTCCGAGATCCTTCCTCCCACTTGCAGAGGCGGGGAAGGGAGGAGGCAGAGATGGAGGAAAGGAGAGGAGGGAAGTCGGAAGGAAAGGCCAGTTACTGTGGACCTGGGGCAGTTGGTGTGCGGAAACCAGCAGGCTTGTTTGTGTTGGAGCAGTTCGAGAGCCGAACGGGACTGGTCAGGAAATGAAAGGCAAATAACAGGGCAGAGCGTGGGCAGCCATTCAGGGCAGTGGCAGACAGGCTGACAAGCTTCTGAGGGGCAGTGTGGGGACAAAGACCCCATAGACCTGCCTGAGGGAGATCTTAGTGATGGAACTACAGGAACTATATACGGCTGTTAAAGTCTGATTAAATGGAAAAAGCAAGGCTATTACCTTCCTGTACTCTACCCCCATCATCCTTGCTTAGAACCTGTGGGAAATTCTAGGGAATTTCCTTAGATTCTGATTAGGGAAGCTTTTCAGGAACTTATATTATACTTCACAATACTATACTCTTCTCCACAGATGAGAGTGCAATGATCCCTCTCTGGGCATTCCCCAGAACCCAGACAGCCTTCTCTAACCCGCCTCTCACCGCAACAGCTTCACAGAGCCAGGGTTCAGATCATGTCTCCCTGTTGGTCCCTCCTCAGAACACAGCAACCATGTGTCAAGCAACAGGAAGGACAGGTAGATGAGGGGAAACAGAGGCATAGAAGCTGGGGGGCCAGAGGAGGGGGGTCAATGCTACTTGCACTGATCCCAGTCACTGAGCATCACAGAGCTATTCTGTCCTCAGCCCCAAGGGCTTCTGCAGAAGAGCAGAAGTCAGAGGCTCCCTCATCCCTGTCGCATGTCTTTCAACATGACCTGCTGGAGTGGACTGATTCATTAATGGTCTTGATTTTTCACCCCCACCCCTTGTTTCCATGACAAGTGACTTACTTAGTAGCTCCTCTCACTATGAAGGAGTCTGCTTGTCACTGTGGAGAGGAATCTATCTCTTCATTTCTTGAATCTGTCAACTTTGAGTAATAGGAGCAGGGGAAGTACCATATCGCAGGTCTGAACCCAGGCTGTGAGGGGCCTAGTGCTCCTGCCCTCCTTCACTGTCATGAGATAGGCATGCTCAGACTAGCCTACTGGTCCCAGGAGGATGAGAGGCATATGGAACAGGCCCAAGTCACCTTACCATTCCATCTAGTGCCATATTAAATTAGCAACCCCTCTGCATGTGAGCAAGTCGGTTGAGACCAGAAGAACGACTTTGTCAAGCCCACCAAGACAGGGAGAACTTCAAGACTGGCCACTCAAGCACGACAGCAATAGTGAACGCATACTGCTGTGAACCGCTGGGGAGTTGTTATGCAACCTTAGTGTGGCAGAAGATAATGGATATACTTAAGGAAAATTAGGATAGCGGCAAGACCAGGCTGAGACCTTCCCAGCTCTCCTGCCCATCAGTACTATTTCATTCCTCAGCTGGAGGCTAAAGGCTTCATCTTCATAATCACCTCTGCTATAAACTCATTCCACATTGTCTAGGTTTTGTTCACAGAGAGAGTGAAAGAGCCACGATCTTCTGTCTTATATCAGACCTTGAACCTCCTTGTCCTCTTGGGGTCATTCTAAGCCACTACCCTAGCACCTGTAGGTACCTTACTGCCTGAATTTCATCACCCTGTCACCATTTCACGTCCTCCTCTTAACCCCATCTGCTTCCCACCCACAGAGGTCTTCAGCTTCAGCACACACAATCCCAGGCCCTCATCCCTGGGTCACTGCATTTTCCTCTAGATTTTCCTTGCATAGAACAACAACTCATCTGCAGGACAACTCTCTGGCCTCCATTCAGCTGGATAGTGTGCTAAAATCACTATGACTATTTTTTCCTTGGAGGCAGTCCATCTAAAATGTGCTGTAAAAGCAATTTCACTTTATCTTGAGAAGCAGTGGCCCCTGTAGCCTCTAAGGAAAAGCTGTTGGAGTGAGGGTGACGGAGGAGGCAGGGCCCACTCTCTACCTTGTGCCTTCTCCAAATTTTACTCTCCAGGTGATATGGACAGGAGAGGATCATTGTAACTGTTACTATCACCATTATTCCTCTGGTAGGAAGGATCCTGGCCATCAAAAGCTCTTTAAGATGAGAGGCTGAGGGTTGAGACACAAGGCAAACCTCTATGGTTTTATTTATTAATTTCTTAGAAGTCTTAATATGCCTAAAACCGTGCTTTGTATGCAGCTCAAGTCTTTGCTGAATGGATGCTGCACGAACAAGAATAGAGTCATGCCTCGGACTAGTTATAGGCTGTTGCGGGAGTTGGATCGTATTTCCCTCCACTTTGGGGGCAGCATCCATCTCACCTTTCCCTTAGTAAGTCCTGTCATGGGGATGCGCCAGGGAGCCAGCTGCCTGCAGTCACATGCATGCATAGCAAAGGGGACAGAAGGAAGAAGCTCCTTGTCTCTAGTTTCGGTCCAGACCCACAGGCCTTACTGAAAGCATATCCCTGCTCCCTAGCACAGCCTTGGAAGTCCTGGTTGCTTAGTGTTATGGCCTCTGCAATATCAGTTGCATCTCACGAATGAATGAATGAGTTCTTCCTTCTTCATCCCCTTTATTCAGGTTTATTACAGATTAATCCCTCTCTCGTAAAACAAAATGGCAGTGACCCACCTCAGCAACATGCTCTTTTAACATGCTTATTTTGCAAAGCTTCAGATTGATCCCCTCAAACTGTGAAGATACACTGGGAGGTCACCTTTCCCAGTGGCTCACTCTGGTCACTCTCCACTGACACCATAAACAGCCCAATCATATCTCCTTTGGGGGAAATTTTTTAGGAAGGTGTGCAAGAATTAAGTAATGTCCAAAAGCACACTACGTGGGCAGTCTGTGGCTATAAAAATATACACATACAAAAGTACAGCTACAAAATCAGGGTCCCATTTTCTTCAATTTGCTTTATAAAAAAAGGATTTTGTATTAAAGGTAAACTTGGGGAAGAGGGCCACATGATTAAAATTTTATGTTTAATCTCCCCAAACCTTTATTTTCATGGGCTAGTCAGAACACATTGAATCAGCCAGTAAAGAATGGAAGGGGTTAATCTGAACAATCCATAGGCTAAGGTGAATTTGAAGTTCAAGGTCATTAGTCATCTTGCTAGTGTCATAAATCAGGGACGGACAGAAATATTTTAATACTGTTCTGTAGGGTTCCTCTCTCTGCCTCTCTCTCTCTCTCTCTCTCTCTCTCTCTCTCTCTGCCTCTCTTTCTCTCTCTCACTTACTCTCACTCTCACTTACGCTCTTGTTCTTGATCTCTAACAGAACATAGCCATTGAGCTACAGCAGACAGTCTCTGGAATTCACACTGATGTGTGATTTCTCAAAGACTACAACACACAGTATTCCATTAGGTTTGGCCCACAGAGTCTTGGCAGAAAAGGCCACTTAGGGCCTCCAGTCTTGATTCTCAGTTCCCATCAGGGTGTACTTTGTCCTTGATGAGAGGAAACACACCTGGTCCCTGGGCCTCTGTGTGCAGCATCAGGCAGGGTCTCTGGGCCCTTGGGATGTTCAGGATAGATGTTCTGTCCCTTGGGCAAAGCCAGCTGGTGTTACTTAGCTCCACAAGTGTTGATGTTTTTCCCATCCACAGCATCTTCCACTAGGGAAATGTGATAATCGGTGGATAGGGTAAAATGAGAGATGCAGCCCACGAGGCCTCGCATGTATTGTCTGTTCGTGTGCAGAGCAATTTCTTTCATTCCACCTGCAAGGAAGCAAAGAGGGAGAAGTGGATGAGTCAAGAAGAGGTATCATCAGTTGGACAGCTGTCATCATTTGAGTGTCCCTTGGCCAAGGACAAACTGCTCTCAGTGTACCACATGTACTTTATAATTATTGTTGAAAGAATAAGTTGATTTTGAACCATCTAATACACACTCAAAGCCTACAAATGCTGACCCTAGGTGCAATTTAAAATCAAATAGTTGTCCAGCAAATTTTTAAATATTATGCAATGTCAACGACATGTATTGTCTTCAACCAAATACGTTGATTTTGGCTGCTTTCAATTCAGTGCCCTTAGAAATACACAAGGGTATCTTTTCATGATTTTTTTTTTGTCTGCATTAGTAGATTATAAACCATGTATAGACATACTACTCATTCTATTCTGGGAGAGGACACAAAGACAGATCCTCCTTCTTCAGAGAGAATTCATAAAGTTATATTTAGAAGGTTCCTGTTGTATAAACAAGAAAAGCACAGTTTTCCTGGTGGATCTCTCCAGAGCACAAAGGCAATGTGAGTGTGTCCTTTCCTGCTGCCTCAGCTGTGAGTCAGAAGTTCAGAACATGGAAGAATGGACTATATGACAGCTTCCTGATTTCCAGGTATTTGACTCAAAGAATGAGCAGCCCCAGCACAGCAAACGAAGGCCCAACAAGGAAAAACCCTGACCAAATTTAGCTTTGGTCAAGGTCACTTACCCACATACAGAGCTCCATGGATGTTGAGCTGCCTCATCATGCCAGGCGATTTGCCTGTTCTGGCTCCATAGTCATCCACAGTGATCTTTCCAGATTGGCCATCCCTACAAAGCAAAGCAAAATGAAGCCAAACTAAACAAACTACCATTTTTGAAGCTACTTAAATAATTTCTGTTCAAAGGTATAATGGTACCTACTATGTGCCAAGTGATAGAACTGCAACAACAACAACAAAAATCCAAATAGCAGCTTCTGTAGCACTGGGGAAGGGGACGGATGGGCCTCATTTACTGCTTCACACCTTCTGTCACTGAGTTTTAGAGAGCCTCTTCCTGCTCTGTTCCTTATTTTGGAAATGATTTTTAGAACCTCCTAACTGGATGCTGTAATAGGCAATGCTCGTCAGCCTGCCCTTTTCCTCCTGTTATTCTAAATGACTGCATCTTCCCACTTACTCTGTTTCATCAATTGTAAGCATTTTTCAGTTTTCATATTTGTGAGCTGAAACTATGTCTTCTAATTAATACATCTTAAATTTAAAAAATATGGCATCACCTTCTAAAATACATAGTGCTTCATCATGCTTGTTATTCATTGTCGCCTCCCAGTGGAATACAAGGCCACCAAGGCAAGGGAATTGGATTTTTCTCAATGGTGTATTTCAGGTGTCTTTAGTAGTGCATGGTTGGCTCATAATAATAGATAAGCAAGTGAATCTGCGAAGCTCATCATCCTTATCTGAAACCGAAATAACTATGTCCATCTTCCTATGCTATTGTGGAAATCATCTGCTATACGTGTAAAACACAGAGCATGGTACATGATATAATCTTGGCTACAGAGACTGGTAAAGGAGCATGATGCTACTGTTCTCCATGTTATCAAATGATTGATTTATCCACAAACTGAAGACTATAGATCTGAAATTTCTGGGAATATGAACGGTTATAAAGTACTGTGTATAAGATACCTGGCAAGAGATGTTTGATAAATGAGATATTTCCTCTGTTCTGCTAGGAGTTATGCCTGAAAGGCCAGAATCACTTGATACTACAAGATAGTACCAAAGCAGTCCCCTTTGGGACTTCCTCTATATTTATTTTCCTCTCTCTGCCCTGGAGTGTTCTGTAGAGAATTATGTTATCTAGTCAATCCTTCCTGCCATAGATGATAGCCATAGCCTTGACCCACTACCCTCTAGTTCTGGCTGCTCACAACTTAGAATATCCACCCACCTAAATCCTGGGCTCAGCTCCTGTTCAGTCCTCACTGTAACCCAAGACACAATAGGAAGGAGATCAGTGATGCGAATAGGAAGAGTCCTGTCTACTGAGTCATCTGCACATGCCAAGTGTGATGTTCTGGTATCTGAAGTTCTTTTTGGGGAGCATTCCATTGCATTACCCCTCCTAAACATCTGAAATCCCCATGTGTGGGCTGCCTCCTGGGGTGGAACAGAAATGCTTTTGATCTAGGTTCTGCCCACAGCAATTACATAGTCTTGGGAAATGCATTTAACATCTGTTTCCTTAGATGTGTAGGAAGGGCCTAGTGTCCCTAACCATTGTCTATCTTCATTCACGTAATCAAACCACAATAATTATGAAAGTTGAAATCCTTCCACCATTTCTACCCAAGGAACACAGGGTGTTCCCTGATGGTCCTCGGGTGGTTGATGGGATTAAATGTGGTTGAAATTGAGAACTGAAGCATTTCACTTTCCTTTGGAGATTCCTGTGCAAGCTCTTTCATAAATGGCTGAGAAAGAAATGAGGAATTAAGAAGCAGAATACTTTGGAGTATTTCAAAGTTAGGTTGGACTCTGCCTTTTGACATGTTTTCTAGAACAAATTTGAAATCCAAGCTTGCAAAAATGCATTATGAGAAATCATTTCTCAACAAATTGAGTTGGGGCTTCATCAAAATCCCTACATATCTGGGCTTTGTGGGCTACCTGGCAGAAGACAGACACAAGTCTGCCTCCTTCTTCACATGCCCTGTGAGGTTCCAAGGCATGAAGTACAGTCAGGGCAGGGGGCCAGTAAGGATGTCCTCACCACAGCCTATGTGGAAGCAAAAGGGCGAACTGGCAGTGCTGAGCCCCCATAGCTCCCAGGCCTCGTCTGGACCCTCACCACTGACTTCCCCAAGAGTGCAGAGAAGTGCAACCAGAATCTCTATTCGGCTTCACTTCAGTTTAGACTCATCGAACATTCAGCACTGGCCATGCTAACTTGGATCTGCTCTTTGAAAATACATTATTAGGAATAAGGAAACAACTATTAAAACTATAAAGAGCATAGGAATTATCTGTCCAAAGTTAATTAGAATTCAGGATCCTAATTACCATTGGGAGGCAGATATATATCACGGGGGCTAGGTGACTACACATGGCTTCTAACGTTCAGATAATGTTCTAAAAAATGGGAGTTGCCTATGCAAGGACATTTAGGGCATTCTTTTAAGTTTTCATAGCGCCCCCCCATCTCATCTCATGATACTTTAAGACCTCATTCCCACTTAGCATTAAAAGGTGGTTTCTGCAAATAAAAACAAATGCTGGCGAGGATGTGGACCAAAAACAACCTTTATAGACAGCTGGTAAAAATGTAAACTAGCCAGGCATGGTCGCACATGCCTTTAATCCCAGCACTTGGGAGGCAGAGGTATGGGGATCTCTGTGAGTCTGAGGCCAGCCTGGTTTACATAGTGAGTCTGGGCCAGCTGGTGCTACAGGGAGAGCCTGTCTCAAAAAGACCAAAAGAAAAAAAAAAAGTAAACTAGTCCAGCTACTATGGAAATCAGTATGAAGTTTCAAAAAAAAAACAGATCTACATATGATCTGTTGCAGCTGTACCACTCCTTGGTAAAACCCAAAGGACTGCAAGGCAACACGTTACAGAGATACTTGCACATTAATGTTTATTGCAGCACTATCCACATTAGCTAAATTATGGAGCCAACTTAAGTGTCTAACAGCAGAAGAACGGATTGAAACGTAATATATAATGGATTTTCTTTTAGCCATAAAGAAAAACAAAGTTATGTTGTTTACAAGAAAATGTATACAAGTAGAGATAATCATATCAACCAAATGAAGCTAATCACAAAAGGACAAATACCATATGTTTTTTGGTTATTTGTGGTTCCTAGATTCTATCCAGGTCCAATCCAGATACATAAAATCATATATGTACATGTGACATGAAAGCAGAGGTGAAACTGGCAGCATACATTATATACTTGCACGAAAGTGTTCTTAATGTGGCACAGTACAGTGTGGTGTTAAATGTGTATGTGCACTGAAGCTTTTTATGTGTTTTCTCCAGATCAGTGCAGATATAGAGGTTCAGTTTCTGGAGGGCATAGGTGGGACAGAGTGGCAACAGGAGGATGCCAGATGAAGCGGGGGAAGAGGACAGTTGGACCGAAAGGAGCTGGATGTATACCCCACCCTCATGTAGCCTGGCTCTGCCTCCCAAGGTGTTGGTTGCTTACCTGACGGCCTTGACCCGGTGCCACCGGCCATCACTGAAGGAGCCATTGATCATGATGGAAGCCACACCACTGCCCAAGTTGTAGCTAAGGGCATTGGAAAAGAACAAGGCAGAAAACAGTGAAACACAGAAGTATAGGCAGCTGCCTATTCACAAAGGATTCTTACTGCAAAGATTCACCTAGACTATAATGTCATTAACTCAAACCAAAGGGTGACACAAAAAGTGGTCATTTTCTAGGTTAGCCCATGAAAGAATTATTTTTCAAATGTTCAGTTGTGGTAGGATAAACATCATACTTATCTAAGCCATTTGTAACTGTACAGTCAATAGTGTTAAGTATAATCAAGTAAAACCAAACTCCATAATTCTTTCATCATGCAAAATGGAAACACTGTATAACCCAGCTCCTCATCCCTCCAGCCCCCGAGCACCACCCTTCTACTTTAGGTCTAGCTTTGACTAATCTAGGTAACTCAATTATGTGGAATCATAAGATATGTCTTTTTGTGACTGACTTATTTCCCACATTGTAAGGTTATCAAGTTGATTCTTTTGGGTCTCTGTATGGAGCTGTCAGAAGTTACAATCTTAGCAAAACAAAAAAAGCTTTATCATTCATCCTGGGTTGCACAGTGTTCCCTGAAATCTCTGTCCACCCAGAACCTAAGAATGTGGCCTTGTTTGGAAACAAAGTCTGATGCAATAAATTAAGATGAGGCCATACTGGGTTAGAGGGACTATTAATCAACGTTACTTGTATTCTTTTATAGAAAACACTTTATTTATTTA